TTCATCTGCCAAACGCTTCATAACCCTGGTCACCTCCCTGGTGAGGTTTCCTGGGCACGTCCGAGTGGGAGGAGTCCTAAAGGGAGACCCAGGACAACTCTGGACCCGACGATCGGACACTTGCGTCTCCACGACCAGCCGGAGTGTCATCTTGGATGAATCACCATCCTCCTGATCTCCGGATCCACAAGAGGGTCCTGTTTGGGTGAGGTAGAACACGAGGATGCGTTTGATGCTGTTTCTCTCAAAATGACTCAGTTATTCGCAAAACATCATTTCCACCCAGAACGCTTTCATTCTCTCTGAAAGAAACCTTCTGAGAACTTCATTCACGCATCCAAAACTCACCATTCTCATTTTAGTTCCATCCAGTCACGGGTTTGCTTTTAAACAAGTTTAATATCAAAACTGTTGAGAATTGACATTAAAATTTCCATCCATGAATTGTCATTTTACAATTGTAGCTTCAAATCTTTCCAGTTTAAAATTGTTAGTAATAAAATTTCTTCATTTTTAAACTTGCCTCATTATTGAAACAAAACACAGAAAAGGTAACATTTCTGGTTATTTGAAAGCAAAGATCCTAGCTTCTGATTTAAAATAACTTTTACTATTAAATTTATCTAAATTAAACATTAATCTTTGGATTAAAATTAGATCAAGCAGGTTGATGTATGAACTTAGATCGATATATAAGTATCCGGGATATATATATATACATATATATATATATATATACAGTATATGATATAAGCTTCATAGGTTAATCTGAATGGTCATTTTTCAGAATATCCACTGCTTAGCAACAGAGGGGATTTCAGTGTGCAGATCAACTCTACAATGGGAAACAATCAGTCCTCACAGAAAAGACTTCAGAGCGATGCTGTCAGGTTTTATCTCGCTGGTTATTGTCGGTTACTCTTTTTCTTTTTCCGTAACAAGCAGCTGCTGTGAAATACGTTTCTACTTGAACTTTGATATTTTTCTTGCCTTTTTTTTTTTACCTTTTTTTTTTTTTACCACAAACATGCAGCAACTCTCGTTTTACTTCTTTATCTCGGCTTTGAGCGTGTGCGGGAGTAGCTGTCCATCATTTTGTGTCTTTTGTCTTCTTCTGAAAACATGACATCCTTCAGAGAAGGAACAGATGCAGAGGACTGCCAGACCAGAGGAAGTGTTCGTCTCCATTTAGACAGGATGACAAGTGAATAAGGAGAGTGTTTGTGTGCATGGGCTTGTTTGTGCGGCCTTTATGAAAGTATTACCATATGAAGACGCTGTGCGTTCAAGCAGGACAACTCAGTAGGGTTTGTCAACGCTCGGTGAAGCACAGACAGGCCCACAGACTGAGAAAGAGAAACAGGTGAAAGAGATGGATAAATAGAGATGACAGAGGAGGAAAGAAGAATATAGAGAGAACATTACACAAGAGCGAAGTCAAACTTTTGACTTTACTTCACACATTGCGTTATTATAAATATCCTGCTAAGTTATAAACTCATAAATCCCAGTTTTAGCTTTAGCTAGTGAAATAAACACTGACTAAACCCAGAATCTATCACTATGGAACCAGTTGCCACCCTCAGTTAGGCTGTCCCCATCTCTGCCACTCTTCAAGAGTCGCCTAAAAACCCACCTCCCCTGCTCGGCGTTTCCTGAACATGTTTGAATTTGGTCCTCTTTTATGTTGATTTTATCTCACAGTTTTCATTAGTTCACTTTTTCCCTTGTTTTACACATTTGTCTTCTATTAGAATGTTTCACCTTTTTTGTAATTTGTAATCTGTAATTTGAATTGCTTTTATTTTCTGATTTATTCACTTTATTTAACTTTGTACTGTTCCATGTTCAGCGCCTTGGGCTTCCTGACAGGGTTGTGGAAGGCGCTTTAGAAATAAAGCTTTGATTTGATTTGATTTGATTTGATTTGATTTGATTTGAGAATCTGTCTGAGCTGTCACTGATGGTGACCAGTTGGGTGGGGTGTGGGGCATTCCCCACAGGGGGGTTGCAAAACGTCCTGAAGCATTAATGAGTGTTTTGATTCCTTTTTGTTTTGTTGCTGGAATTTTGAACACGTTTGAAAAAATGTTGAGTGTGGTTCAAAACGGAAAAAAACCCTCATGTTTTCTTCCTGTTTTGTGTCTCAAACTGATCTCTAACAGTCTCAACCCACTGACTACCAGTAAATATAGAATCAATTTCAAAGTGCTTCTTCTAGTTTATAAAACACTGAATGGCACGGCGCCAGATTACATGCCAGGTCTCTGCGGGTGTATCCACCCAGCACGGTCTGAGGTCCTTAAGAAAGCAGCCAGCTGGTAGAACCTGGGTCAGAACCAGACTGGGTGACGCTGCTTGTGCTGCACGCAGATGGACTCAGCTTCCTCATGACCTCTAATGTGCCACAACTCTAGTAACTTTTATGGTTCTCATCAGCCTTATGCTGCACCTTCTGCACAGTAGCCCAGTCTTTAATTTAAACTTTTTTATTTTATTCTTACAACAAATTTAATTTGTGGATTTTAATTTTGAGTTTAAAATCAGCTGTTTTATGTCGTCACGTTGATTTTAATGTTCTTGCTGGAGCAAGAATGTCTAAACTGATCTAAGATGATAAATGAGTATGAAAATGAGTTTTCTCCACCGGTTGTCTGGGCTCTCCCTTAGAGATAGGGTGAGAAGCTTGATTATCTGGGAGGGGCTCAGAGTAGACCCGCTGCTCCTCCACATCAAGAGGAGCCAATAGAGGTGGCTCGGGCATCTGGTCAGGATGCCTCCTGGTCACCTCCCTGGTGAGGTTTCCTGGGCACGTCCGAGTGGGAGGAGTCCTAAAGGGAGACCCAAGACATGCTGGAGGGATTATGTCTCTCGGCTGCCCAGGAAACGCCTTAGGATTCCCCCGGAAGAGCTGTCCCAAGTAGCTGTCAGGTGCTCGCCAACGTGCCCCATCCAGGGGGTGGCTCCAGAGGGGGGCTCCGGTGAGGGAACACTGTTTCCATTTATGTTCATCATCATAAGGGGTCTTTGGGTTGCTCTTTGTCTGATCCCTCACCTAGGACCTGTTTGCCATGGGGGACCCAGAGGCATAAAGCCATACTCGTTGATGGAATTTTGAATGGCCTCAGTTTAAAGAAACAGCATTTATGTCAGACAGGTCTGACTAGCTGACAGCAAGTCCAAATGCAGCCAAGTGTTTTACTGTCGCCTCAAAAAGCCTCCGATCTCTGAAATGTCACCACAGTTGATTCAAACATTCATTCATAAACCTCGGTTTCAGAAACCTTTTGGGAGGCCATTTGCAGCAGGTTTGAAAACTTTCTCACAGTAACACTGAGCTGGTTTAAACTGGGTATTTTTCAGACCTAAATCAGGGGTTCCCAAATTGGGGGTCGGGACCCCCAAGGGGGTCCCCACAAAATTACAGGAGGTCCCCACAATTTTGTCTTTGCTGAGATTGTGAGGTTAGCAAGAATTTCTTTGTAAAAATTACATTTATAAACTCCCAATAACACACCCTACAGTATAATCACAACTCCATATATAATTTATAACTGTGTGTCTGTGTAAAGATGGTAAATGATCACATTTAACGTGTGTACGCATGTAGGAGTTGGGGCTAGGGGTCCTGGCTTGGACATGAGCAAGGGGGTCCTCAAAAAAAGAAATTGGGAACCCCTGACCTAAATAACTGAAATCTGTGTAAGTTCAGAGTTTACAGGAAGAAAAACCTTTTAATGAGTATCACCTTTTTAGAAAGGTTTGTTTAAAATAATCATCTGAAACAGCAGAGGCCAAACATTCTCTGAACCTTCGGTTGTTTTTATGTAAATGTGAAAACAACAGAAGAAGAAAAATGTATGAATGATTTTTGCTGCTTTCTGCTTTTGGAAAGGTCGTTTAAATTCCATCAAAGTTAAACGCACAAACAGAGCTGGTCAGTTCACAGTTTTCTTCAACATAAACCTCAAAGTAGGGACACACACGCACACACACACACACACATATGTTCATGTATTCATTCCCTAAGCACCAGTACTAACTTTAACTTAATGTCACAAAATACCAGCAAAATGGCTGCACCTTTGAGGATTTTTGTGGTGCTTTATTTTACAAAAATAGCCCAAACATCACGCTCAGTGATGTGTGCAGACCACCTGAGGAGGCAAACAGGAAGTCGTTAAAAAGCAGCTGGTCCGACATCAGCGCTAACACACAAAAACGAACTTGGTCGGATTATATCAGCTTTTCTGTTTGAGTATGATTGAATACGTCGTAATCATTTACGTTCCTGTGACTTAAAAGTACATTTCGTCCTGTTTTTTCCATAGGAAGATGAGTAAAGTAGAAAAATTCCCATAGATGCGGATAGCAACGGTCCGCTTTATGATTGTCCTTCCCCTGAATGCAGTTTTCCCTCTTCGTTAAGCAAACAACCAGCTGAACGTGACGGTCCGTGGCTCTGGCAGCAGTTTCAGCTCACAAACATCCAGCTGGTCTGGATCTTCTCTTTGCTTACTGTCTGTTATTTTAAACTCCATTTATTTGGAATAGTGGGATTAGTACGTAAGAAACGGTCTCGCGACTCGTGTTGCGAATGACCACAGTCACCAATTCTTCTTGTGTGTCTATGTATGTCTGATCTGAGAAGTGTGTGTACTGAAACTCTAATTTCCCTCTGGGATGAATAAAGTATTTTTGAATTTGAATAAAAAAACAGGAATGGAGACATTATTAGTCTGGGTCATTAGTGTTTGTTAATACTTTCACACTCTCGAGTCTAACATCTTCATTCTGGCTGATTAAAACTTCCTCTTCTTAACTCCACTGATTCTGTTTTGTGTGCGTTTGTGCCGTTGGGGGGGCGGGGGGCGGGGGGGGAGGCAGTAACGACTGAATAGGAGCTGCTCGTTAGTATTTCGGTTTAATCACCATTTCAACACACTTTCTTCCTCTCTCATATGAAAATGTAACACTGATTTCTTTCTCCTGTTGTTCAGCTCCATGTAACTGTCAGCAAGACGTCAGTGAAAGTGGTGTTGGATTGTTCAGCAGTGGGAGAGAAACCAGTCGGCGCAGCTGGGAACATCACCACAGACGGGGTGGAGATCCTGGGAAGAATGGTTCGGTCCCGAGGCAAAAGAGACAACTCTGCACCAGTCAGTGTTTTATTATGCTGTGCATTTTATTTATGCGTAACTAGCAAGATGTTGGTAAAATGCAGATAAATCCAATAACCCAATGGTACTAATAGAAAAGAACACGTAAGTCAAAGAAAAAAACGTTTTCTTTTCTCAGGTCTTTGCATTTTGTTTCATTGTTTATTAAAAGAGAGACATTAAATAGATAGCTGATTTTTGTTTTGTTAGAAAAACTATAAACATGTTTATTACCCAGATGCTGCTTGAGTCAAATGGGCTAAAAGAAAATAAAAATGGTAATTAGGCACCAAAACAAGTAAACATCGTAAAATTAAGAATCAGCTTTTTATGTTTGCGCTTAAGTTCTCCTCCTGAGTAATGTGTGTGTGTGTGTGTGTGTGTGTGTGTGTGTGTGTGTGTGTGTGTGTGTGTGTGTGTGTGTGTGTGTGTGTGTGTGTGTGTGTGTGTGTGTGTGTGTGTGTGTGTGTGTGTGTGTGTGTGAACAGTTTTTTTTAGTGAAATGGGAGGCAGAAATATTAACAACCATCATAATAAGTCAGTAAGTGGAAGCTAATTTCATTGATGCTGCAGACGTCTGGAAATACTAAAGACGTGTTTTTTTAGGGTTTTACTTAAATGCTTAAAAATGTTTGTGTTAGTTGGTTTTGCATAAATGAAGTAAGGAAAATGTACATTTGCTTTCATTTCAATCTGAATAGTCCAAAGTAACTGATCTAGATTCAACCATTTAGTGAAGAAGTGACTGTCATGGTGCAGTGTGGATGGCGGTGGACCAGGAGGCAGAAATACCAGATCAGGTTAAAAAAAAAAACAGATTTATGTAATAATGGCAGGTAGGATGATACAACAGGAGCAACGTAACAGGGTGAAAACACAACAATGACCTGACAGAGGACAAGTGGAAAACAGGGGGTTAAATACACACGGATTCTCAGAAACCCATGGGTAGGATAACAAGGGGCAGGTGAGTCCAATAAACAACTATGTAGGGCTAAACGAGACCAAGGCCCAATCCCAATACTCGCACTTGCACCCTCGCACCCTTCAATTGCTCGTTCCCAGCCAGGTGTGCGAGTGTGTAGGGTGTCCCGATTCTCAAGTGCAGAAGTTGACCACGCCCCCATTGCACCCTTAATCTGCACTTCACCCAAGTCTGCAGCGATGCGGACCTCAGGCAAGGGTATTACCCACAAGTCATTGCTGCAGGAAAAAAGTCAAGTCTCAAGTTCCTTTTCTGAAAATATGTATTTTCTAATGAAATTAGTTCATTTTAGGACGATTAGTTGATGCTCTGAATGTTTTAGACAAAGCAGCAATGAAGTTAATTTGTTTGAAAGTTGTTAATAAAGGTTTTTGAAAAAAGTTTCACAGCTACCAGCATCCCGGCATGAGTTGTGATCGATGACACAATGCTCCCTTTCTGCAGTTATTTGCACACTTGTGTACTACGCACTCGAACCCTACTGCACACTTTCTCCATGTGAACTTTGCTGGAGACCGCAGGGCGCAGAGCGAGTGTTGAGATTGGGCCCAAGAGTCGGAGGGGTTGGAGCAGATCTTGACAGTGTCATTTCAAAATTCCTTTTTTTCCCCTTGCATAAAAGACGTCTACAAGTTAAAAAAAAATGATGCAACTGGAATGTTTTATTTTTCCCCTCCAGATTTCAGTCCGTGAGTCTGGGATTTAAATCCGTCTGTTACTAAAGTTTATGTTTAGGTCTCAGCTAAAGCTTCAGTCAGAGTGCAACAGGCTCTAAAACCGTTTAACGTTGCAATAGAACAGCTGCATTAGTAAGATATGAATGACTTTTGTTTTCAAACATAAACTTTTTACGTATTTTAACATAAACGCGACTTATTCTAAACCAACTTTCTATATTTTTTTCTTAATTGAACGGCTCAATTAATTAAATATAATAAAACGCTGCATCAGTCGCCTCCGGGCCGATAAAACCAACCAGTAATAAATTAAAGAGCAGCTGAAGCAATAACAGCTCACCTCCAGCTGACAGACTGGGACCATGCATCAAGTCTCTTCTGGTTATTTATGGTTTCATTAGGATTCAGCACAGAGGGTCCCAGTGGAGGTGGAACTCTGCTGTGGGCTGTGAAGCACCAACTTAGGGGTCTTGAAATGATCTCCAGAAGCCAAATGAAATTATAATCGGTTCATCAGATTGTTCGTTTACTTTAACCAACGGTAGTGTGGGTCTGCTGCTGCTGCTTAGGGTTTGGAAACCACTAATCTATTCTAGGGAAGCGATTTAGTTCCTGATAACTACATGATTATCAACTCTGACCAAGATGAAGTTTGATGATGAGTGATGAATGCATGGCCTCAGGTGAAATCCACCTGAAGTCAAATGAACGGTGTCAGTGATCAGACCTCACTGACCTTTGATACTAAAGTTATGATATGAGTTTGTTGTAATCGTGAGACCCTTCTGCATCCCTGCAGGGTTCTTTTCTTCTGTTTTATTCAAGCTAAACCAGATGTGTCCATGTTCTGGCTCATTCCTGCTCTTTAATTCGTCGTGTACAGGAAGCAGAAGCCAGGCTGCCTTCCAGAGTCAGCACCGGAAGCATCGCTACATTTCTGAAATGTGCTAACTGATAGCGATGGGTCTGATGTGCAGCACTGACCAAGCTGCCTGTGTGTGTTCTCATACGTGTGTGTGTGTTTACAGTTTCAGCTGCAGATGTTTGACATCATCTGCAGCACGTCCTGGGCCAGCAGAGATAAGTGCTGCGAGCTGCCAGCATTGGTAAGGAACTAAAGCATTCCTTTCTACCGTCTCTGTGCATCAGGTCGGTTCGACTTACGAAACAGCTTCTAGTTCATCAGCTTTTACAATCACTTATGTGAGTCATTTCATTCATTCTGATTCAACCAGTTAGTTCAACACCTTAAAAGCATGCTGCTCATGTAAATAAATCACGTACATAAGTTACATAAGCAGTTTTTAATGAACCAGAATAAACAGACCAATAAAACAGAGGCCTGGCCTGCCAGACTCGTCCTCTAATGCTACACAGAGAGCTATCCCCATAAGGAAGCATGGCGCTGGCGTGCCAGGCTAATAAAACAGAGCACCTGTATGGAACTATAGGACTATGTGGGGATCCCTGAGAGGGTCATCACTGTGGTCATTCATCTGTAAGCAAGTGTATCAGTTGGAGCCAAATTAATACTGTGGTGTAGATCCGACACAGGTTGGCATCTGTGTGCGTAATTCACCATCATTATCTTGTTTTGGGGATAAATTAGGCACCATCTATACTGGATGTGTGTGTGTGTGTGTGTGTGTGTGTGTATGTGTGTGTTTGTGTGTGTGTGTGTGTGTGTGTGTGTGTGTGTGTGTGTGTGTGTGTGTGTGTGTGTGTGTGCGTGCGTGCGTGCGTGCGTGCGTGCGTGTGCGCGTGCGCGTGTGTGTGTGTGTGTTTTCAGAGAGTTGAAGAGCAGTGCCCTCCCATGCCTCATTCCTGCACCTGCTCCCAGGAGAGTGAAGGACCTCCAGGACCCTCCGGACCTCCTGTAAGGACATTCAGTTCTAGTTCATGCAATGAGCTGTTTACTTAACAACATTCAAATCTTTCATTTTCTCAAAGGAACATTGTCTCTGACCAGTTTATTCACTTATTTATTAGTGTTTAGATTTTTTTTAGTATTTATCCAAACTATTCTTTTAAAGAGGTTTCTGCAATCTGTATCTAATCAGACTTGTCCGTTCTGCACAAGCTCTTAGAAAAAACTAACATATTTATCTTCTCTTCATGTTTGGAGCAGTCTAATTACATTTCACTATTCGTGATTACAATCCCTCCAAATTTTCTCTTTTATCTTAGGAGTGAATTGCTCATCTGTAGGGTTGAATCCACAGGTCACGGTCCTCCCGTCCCCCCGTCTGTCCGCGTCTCTATCTCATCTTTTGTAAAGGCTTCATCGTCTCTAAAAGAAGCGTTCATTACTTTTACATATTTATTGGTGGAAACTTGTAGAATATTGCACATTGTGGTGAAACCTCATATTATTTTTAGATGTTGAAAACACTTGAATCCATAAGGAAGATGAAAAACTTTTATGTTTCTTTATTTTGCCTCTTAAATTTCCTGAACTGATAAGGGGGGTTATACTGGAAACCGTGGTTTTCCCACAAAGTTTTTTCACTTATTTAGTGAAATGTGACTGAGAATTCCTCTAATCTGCAGGTTGATCACAAGCCAAATGCTTAAAAAGAGGTGATGGTTAATAAAAAATCACACTTTAGTTTTTTTTTCCTAATCTATAAAAGTAAGAAGCTGTTTTTGAAAACCAACACAGGTTTCAGATGAAACCCCAAACCTGCGTTCAGTCTTTTCTTGTCTTCCACAGCCGGAGACAACTTTAGCTTTTTTATTATTATTTAGCACATTATTGATTTTTTTTAACTGACCTGCACCCCGTGCTGTCTGATCCGATCCAGGCGGAGCTCAATACTGAAGTCAACAATCAATCATGCATTAATGAAAACAAGGCGTGCTGAACCTGCCGTCTCCTTTGTTAGCGCTGAACAGTGCCTGTGCTGTTGCGGATCCAAAATGGAAATCCGTCCCTGGCATCAAATAGCTTGGTTAAACGAAAAGAGCTGTTTTCCTTTCCTCTCAATTCTGAGGGTCCGAGGATAAATCCAACCGTAATTATTTTCATAGCATCTGCCGGGAGCTAATTCAAGTTTGTGCTGTTTTTCTCTCTGACTGTTTAGAAAAAAGTATCAGAGTAACTTCAGACTTTGGTTGGCTTTGGTTTGATAGTTTGGGATGAAAGAAAAAAGTTAAGCAGATCTAATAGAAGGATGGAAAAACAGCAAAAGAAAATCTACTGATAATAGCTGAACTTTTGCTTTTACAACCTCCATGTTTCTCCTCCCTGAGTCACAGGGCTGTTTGGTGGCAACGGGCTGTGCACCACACTGAATATCGGCCAAAGAAAGCCAAGGAGAGTTCTCTCGGGTGATTTTAGGGACAACCGTCGACCAAAATGTTAAACATAAAGGCTAGAAGATCTTCTCCAAGCAGCCTGACGTTCCTGTGTCTATTGTTGCACGTATGATTCAGAGCTTTAAGGCCCACAGGACTGTAGACAACCACCTTAGGTGTGGCTGCAAGAGGATAAGTGATGAAAAGATGAAGATTAAAGTAATCAAAGAGCCCAGAATAACTAAAGAGATTGGAGGTGAACTGCAGGTTCTTCAGGTTCTGCTGCTGTTTGAACCAAAGTGGATTTAAAGGAAGACAATGGAGGACCACACCCACGTTGAAATGTAGAAACAAGAATGAAATGAGTTGTCTACATGTGAGCTGACAAGCAACAAGTCTGGTAGGAGAATGTTCAGATGATCAGATGAGACAAAGCGGGGTGGCTTGGCAAAACCTATTAGCTTTGTTCATATCCGAATCTGTTCAGGGTCCAGTTAAACCTCGAGATTACCCGGACATGTCAACTTTCAACGATCTAAATCCTGTTGAACGTCTGTAGAAGGAACTGAAACATCTGGAGAAAGACTCCTTTTCTCATAATAAGGGGGCCAAAATACCCGAAGACCGGTATTTTGGCCTGTCTCAAATGAGAGTTACACCTGTTTCACACGGGAAGCATCAGCGGCACGAAACTGCAGTGGAATGGTTCACTCACAAACTCCAAAGTAGTCCATTCACACCGGGAGAGTCTTGGCCGTGGTACGACTTCCTCACAAGGTCATAAAATCCCTCGAGACTTCCGCCATCTTCCACGCTGGTCTCGCGAGATCACAAGGTCCCTCAACACTTCAAAGGTTTGAGGTTTGCTTACACAATCCACCAATAAACAAAAAATATGGACATTACGTTTGATGTCATGTAGGAAGTTGTTCCTGCCAGGATTAAAGCCATGAAAAACACACGGCTGCACCTCTGGAACCATACTGGGAGTGAATAAGCTGTTGGGTCACATGAAGCCACATTTATATGAAATCGCATCGCTGTAGCACTTTTATTTGGAGAAATGCCACGGGGGTTTATACTGAAACAGTGCATGATTTCCTGTCTAACAGCAAAACTAGAACCCGATCCCATCTGTAGCGGCGCAACGTTCCGCTGCCGTTCCACGCCGCTGATGCTTTCATGTGAAATGGGTTACAGGAATCATCGGACTCTAGTGATTAAAAAAGCAACAAAAAAGTTTTAATTAGGGTCCCATCCTTTTGTCCCGACCAGTGTTGTTATTTTTTTGTTTGTTTTTATTAGATGTCTGGTTTTACGCTAGAAACCTTTTTACAGACTTAAACTTGTGTAAATGTATTTATTTTTATTTCAGGGTGGTCCGGGTGTAAGAGGTGCCAGAGGAGACAGAGGGGAGCCAGGAGTGACGGTTGGTTTTATTTATCTCACTGCAGAATCACCAACACCAAATGAGAGTAGATCTTGTATAATGCTGCGGCACGCTCCAAGTTACGGAGATAAAAAAACAAAATCACCCCAGGAGCAAACAGAGATCAGGTGTTAGGACCAGAGGCCTAATGTTGGCGCCCACTGCGGTAAGAAATGGGAAAACAAGCCTGTTTGCTCAGCTGTCTGCTTACTGGGAGAGTGCTAGCATCATTTCTGAAGCGCATTGCTGCTCCAATGGATGAGACCTAAATCTAACCAGTAGACCAAAGATTTAAGCTCAGTCAGGAGGAGAACCGAGGTGAGTTTGCATATTTCATGAGAATAATGATACAAACATGTTAATGTCGTATATTTTTTTTTAGTATTTGCTGATGTGCTCCTTTCTATCCAAGGACACAACAGAGCTCACCTTTTCTGTAAATGAAGCCAGAAACCAAATCTGTAAATGACAGAAAAACGGCGTTTCATCAGCTGCCTTTAGAACGTGAAACAGCTCAGAAATGCCATCTCTTCAGGTCATTTTTTCCTCCGACTGTCGTCATCACCACCCAGGGCAGGATACTTGCTGTTAAAAATATACTATAATTAAAGTCCATATCCTTTTGTTATGGCCCTCTGATCCAAACCTTGTAAAATGTGAAAAGGGTGCAGAAATTATAGCTTTATGTAAAAAAAAAAAAAAAGGTTTCCAGTGCTCAACACGTGCATTAGCGATGGATAAGCACGTTGGTTTTTAACATAGGCGTGGGTTTTATTCAGCTTGCACATTCATTTGTGTTTAGATGTAACCGTACCAATTCAATTCAATTCAAGTTTATTTATATAGCGCCAAATCACGACAAGAGTCGTCTCAAGGCACTTCACATAATAAACATTCTAATTCAGGTCAGTTCATTAAGCCAATCAGAAAAATGTTTCCTAAATAAGGAACCCAGCAAATTGCATCAAGTCACTGACTAGTGTCAGTGACTTTACAGCAATCCTCATACCAAGCAAGCATACAGCGACAGTGGAGAGGAAAACTCCCTTTTAACAGGAAGAAACCTCCAGAGAATCCTGGCTCAGTATAAGCAGCCATCCTCCACGACTCACTGGGGATCGAGAAGACAGAGCAGACACACACACACACACACACACACACACACACACACACACACACACACACACACACACACACACAAAGTAATGTGTCTATAGTTATATTGTGATGTCTTGGTAAATATTCTATTTGGTGAAAGATAAACTTTATTGTATTTATCCTAGTGGATCTATAATTGAACGGATAAACTAGTAGTAACACATCAAAAGTCAAGGAAACCAAAAAGTTATTACCACTGTGGTAGTGTTTGCTCCTCCGTTCCTTTTAAGAGTTTTTGGACCAAGCCGAGATCTCTCTGGTAGTCAATGTTGGAAACTAGCTGAATTAGTGGGTTCAACCAATTGTCCGAATATTTTAATTAAATCTCATTTTTGTTGATTTATTCTCAATTTATTCACCAACCTGTCCCAAAGTTGTCTCACGTTCTGACTCAAAAGTTAAGTTTAAAGTGGAAATCAGGGTTTTTTTCTCAGAAGGCACCACCTAGAGGCAGAAAAATGTATTGCACCAATTGTGTGATCATGGCTGGAAGCAACGCCTCTTTCCTGAACGCGCCTCCAGCTGACCAACTGACTAAATGATCTTTGAGGAAGCTGCGCGCAAACCAAACTGCTTCCGTTCCATATTGTGTGGGAGACAGACTTGAGAATATGACTTTTATGGATTTTATGATTTGACAACATCCCTGGGAGCAGTGGGCTGCCAGGGGTGGGTCCAGCATCTTTCCTGTAACACGTAGCTTTTGTAGTCTGGGTTCACCCTCTCACCTTCTAATCGTTTAACAACCCCCCACCCCCACCCCCACCCCCCCACACACACACACCCATTCACACACACACACACACACACACACACACACACACCCATTCACACATGGCCGAATCGCCCTTTAATTCAATATCAACTGAATAACTATTAACATTTCCATGTTAACTGTATTGTTGAACACATCACAAGTCTTTTCTTTGTTTTCTTCTCTGAACATGTGACCCAGGGCTTCTTGTGGTTTTGGTGAATCATAACCACATGAGCCTGGAGCCTGTAGGGTCTAGCCATGAAACAACAAACAGTCAAAACTAGTTTTGGCTCACTGCTGCCGCTGAACCTGTGGCTAGCAGGAACTTTGGTTTTCTGGCTCTTGTTGCAGAATTTGTGTCTGCACTTTATACACTCTAATAAAAATGACCCTCCAACAGCAGCTAATGCTACTGTCGATGGATGAAGTGCCCAAGCACAGCAGAGACAGCCAGTGGTATGAAGACTCCAGGTACCTAGAGGTGATGCTGATTGGGGACTGAGCGCTAAAGATGATTGACATTTTGTTGAACAAGATTGGAAGTTCAACCCTCAAAAAAATAAACAGCCCTCTGCTACTGTATGAATGGGGAAATGCAGAGTTTAATATCTTTGGATCTGTCAGTTTTTAAAACATCTGGGATTTTTGTGGGAAGGTAGTAAGTTTTGATCTGTGTTGGTGAAGTTAAATGTGTTTTTTACAGTATACCTCTTTTTCTAATCGCCCCAGATGTCAGCATTTTGGTTCAGTTTAAAGGAATGATTTGTTTATATTGAAGAGGGCTTCTGTGGTAAGATTATGAACAGCTTACCTGGTCGCACAGGTGAGCTAAATGCTGGGAGCTGGTTGAAACAACTCTAATCTCAAAGCTGTTGTAGCAGTTCACCTGAAAGCTACTGACATCATTATAACTCTCATCACCACCATCAACTTTGCACAACTATTTCAGCAGAATAATGAGGTTCTCACCCAAATGTGATAGATCTATCATTTCTGCAGTTAGAGTGCGGCCGTTTAAAAAATGTTGGAAGAAACTGCTACAACCTTGTTTTATTTTTTGGGGGTGGGGGGGTGGGGGGTGGAGGGGCGGGACAAAGGCTTTGTTAACAGCACTAATCCACTTTTGAACTGCCTCGCTGAGCCTAGCTGTTGAATCCATCTCTGTTTCTCCAAACTGAGGCCCATCAATTAGTTACACCAGGGGTTCCCAATTTCTATTTTTTTGAGGACCCCCTTGCTCGTATCCAAGACAAGCCAGGACCCCAACCAAAACTGCTACATGCGTACACACATTAAATGTGATCATTTACCATCTTTATAAAGACACACAGAGTTGTAAATCATAAATGGAGTTCTGATTATACTGTAGGGTGTGTTACTGGGAGTTTATAAATGTAATTTTTACAAATAAATTCTTGCTAACCTCACAATCTCAGCAAAGACAAAATTGTGGGGACCCCCTGCAATTTAGCCCGACCCCCAATTTGGGAACCCCTGAGTTACACCATGAATTATTTGTAACTGTTGCATATCACTACTTCAAAATACCAAAACTGTTACATTAAGGAGATTCTAGTGTCTCTTTAGAAAATGATATGAATGTTTTACATTTGTCTTCTTAACAGGGACCTCAGGGCCCTACAGGAGAAGCTGGCCCACCTGGACCTCCAGGACCTCCTGGTCCTCAGGGACCCAGTGGACTCTCCATTCAGGGACCCCCAGTAAGACTGGTTGTCTTATGATTCTGGCATTGTTGTGAATGACACAACTTTATTTGAGCAATACATAAATATTTGGGATCATGACAAAAAATAGCATCAAAATGTTTCTTTTTTAAGGTTACTTACACTGGTACTGAAATGGTGCCGTTTTTTTATTTCCCTTTCTTTAGGATGTTCATAAAAGTTACGTTATGTTTTAACCCTTTGATGCATAATGGTCACTACAGTGGACAGGTACTCAAAATTGTTATTTCTTTATTTTTGCTATTAAGCACAGTTGTTGAAGACTTTATTGCATTTGAGCCCCTCTATATGGACTTCAGCAAGTCAAGCCAACATATTTCATGTTCAGAATGCACGCTGTCCACTGAGATGGACATGTAATAAATTATTTGTAAATTAACAAAATGTTACAAATAATATTTGCTGAAATTTGTTTCATTCGCACCTAAAGATGAATGAAAAAAAAAGTTTAAAAAATCATGGTTGAAGATTTCATAATTCATGCATCAAAGGGTTAATTTTAGAGTAGAAAGGTAAAAGCTCTCCAGCAGGTCTCCAGGTGTTTGTGAGCCTGATCTGAACCCTGCTGAGACCACTGTGGTGGTCCAGCTGGTTTGGTGTTGACTTCTCTAATCTTTGGTAACTTCTGACAACTGTGAGTCTATTAAAGACAAAACTGTGATGTTTGTTTTCAGGGTGTCCGCGGTGAGAAGGGGGAGAGAGGGGAGATCGGACCAGCAGGACCACTAGTAAGAACAACAGTTCCTGGAACATAATGGTTATTTATCGTGTGTGTTGAGACCTGCTGGTAGGTTTTACTACAAAGCAGCTACTGAACAGTTCCACAGTTCTTCTGAGTTTGAGCTGATTAAAGTGAATAAAAAAAACTCTGCAGGCTAAAGCAAACCCAGCTGGTTCTGCTCCGAGTGTCTGTAAATAAATTAAACCTCAATTATGCCAGAAACTAACAAAAGAGGCTTTTTACATTTCAACAAAAACACATTAAGGATGCAGTTAGTCTTGTTTCTAAACAACTGTTTTATCACGGATGTTCCAACACAAGCTGTTTGGAAGGAAAGTCTTTATTTGTAGACGAGCGTGGACATGATTTCTTTCAGTTAACATGTGCACCAAAACACAGAGACCGAGCAATTTCATGGAATCATTGAGATGTGAATCATTATTATTAGCATCTCCATTATTGAGCAGTCAACCAGAGAAAGTAGTGCTGAATTAATCTGATGGTGTTCTCCAACGGATACCAGCCAAGACGGAGTCTGTGCTCTAATCATCAAGTTAATGCGACTTCTCCAGAAGATGCACGTTTGTTTGTCAACTAATTCTCACAAAATTAACTTTTTTGACACATAATTGAAAAACAGAATTTGAGGTCTGTCTGTCTCTACTCGGGGATTCTGGAGAGGAGGATCCGTCGGAGAGTCGAACCTCGAATTCAAGAGGAGCAATGTGAGGGCTGAGCCGGAAGGCAAAGCTCTCGGTTTACTTATAATTATATTTTTATTTGTTTGACATGAAATCGTCACGATACACAGCTACTACAAATCCCAGTAAGTATTGGCTGTATCTACAACTGATATTTTTCCCCGTGTCCTGTACGCCTGTAAAGTACTCAGAATTGATGTCTGATGGCCAAAGAGAAGCCTTACAGTTTTACTCTCACAGGTGGGGCAGCCTGCATGAAAAAGTCACAGTGACAGATTATAATCAGAAATAATCACACCTTTAAAGGTTTAGTTAAACGTGTAGAGCGCATCGTGATAGTCAAGTCCAGAAGAAATAAAAGCACGAATCGGCATGTTGCCACGAGAAACGATGCGACTAAGGCCTAGTCCACACGTAGCCGGGTTTTTAAAAAAATGAATATCCGCACCTCAAAAAACTTGCATCCACACCACCTCGTTTAAAAAAACTGTCCACACACACCCGGATAAATACATTGTTAAGGACATGCCAGACCTGTAGGCGGCAGTACTTCTCCCGATCTTTACCTCGTCCTTCGTCTGTGGTCTTCCGCAAGGAGCAGTAATTCCACTTGCAAAAACAAACAAGCAAAAAGCGCTTGGACAATTGATAAAGTGAGCGCAGCTCTGAGGGCATCCATGCTGTCGGCTAGTGTAGACACAGGTCGCACACGTGATGTCAGCATTTTTTTGTCGTGGAAAGTGACGTTGCGGACCTTAAAGCTCCGGTTTTGTCTGTCCACACGAAGACACCCAAAACGGAGAAAACGCAGATCTTCACTTTGGCCGGAGTTTTTAAAAAGATCCGTTTTCGTGTGGATGACAGGCCAAAACGTAGAAAAATATCTACATTTTGGCAGATTCCCGGCTACGTGTGGACAGGGCCTAAGTTTTGCTATGTTTCTCAGATGGTGGAAGCAGGATTTAACCAGAGACCGAACAAGAATATCCAGAGTAAGGCCTGCATAAAAGTTACCCTACAGTTTGTTATGGTAGACTTTGCTAGGGCACCCAGGGGTCATCTTAACAGCATGAGCAAAGATCGCTATTTCAGTGTTTCCTCTTTTAATTAAAGAAAACTGTCAGATTCAAAACAAGTTCATATTTGAAGAATCATTTGGTGGAAATTAAATATACAAATGAATATAATCTGCTTAGAAATGATGGGAGATGACAGCATGGGACTGAGAGGGAACAACAGAGGACCCTAGACAGAACCCTGAGGAACACCAAACTGAATGGTGAGAAATGAGATCTGTGTCGGGACGAGGCTAGGAAGATAGACCTGGCTGACAGATAAGACGGCAGCCACGGCAAAACCCAGATAAACCAGCCCAGCCTCTCGACGTGTGTGACAAGGTCAGGTGGTCTACTTCTTCACAAACCAAGGTCAGATCATAAATATGGTTAGTAAAGCTTTTAATGACTTGAACACACTTTGTCCTGCACAGACCAGATAATCCAAGCTCTTGAACCTGTTTTTTGGGTAAGAAGACTCCTTAAAAACCAGCGAAGCCACATTCAGTTGCAGTAACATTATCTTTGTTATGTTGTGATTTTACACCAATGAACGGCTTGAGTTGAGATTAAAATAATTTAATATATAAATTTACCATGAAGTAAAAAATTATGTTTACCACTGCCAAGTACAACGGCTGGCCAGTGATGGTCAATGTCAACAAGCTTTCAGATCAGGAGCCTCCAGTGGTTTTTAATAGTTTTATAGAAGTATGGCAGCATAGTCATGGATAATAAATGGCTGCAACACTGTGGACACCAGGGCCGGAGTGGGACACATTTTCAGCCCTGGAGTTTCAGACCCCAGACCGGCCCACTTAACGAATTATTATTAAAATCATGTTAGAACTTTATATGTATAGTCTACAAAAGCACACTACTCAGTAAAGCCTTGTAATTCAGTGCAAGAAAGAGTTGCTTTACAATGTAGGTTTATTTGAACATCAGTGCACATCTCCAACATTGTTCTTTACAACACATTGTCTAACAATATAACAATCTACATTCTGTTCAAACAGCTGTTCTGAGATTTTCAAATCTTTAAAATGAAATGACTCAGCACTCCCTTTCACACTTTTTCCAGTTTCCCTAGACTCGCCTGCACACAATTAAAATAATCATCTGTAAAACTTTGGCACATCTGATATGGAAAACACATTTTTTGTAACCAATGAAAATATTTTCTATGGCAAAATATGCAGGCTTATTTAATTTTACTTTCATTCTAATAGCGATCTGTTGTGGGCTTTGTGCATTTACTAATAAAAATACATCAGGTCACTACTATTACTTGGACATTAAAATTATTATAATGAAACTGATGTTTGCACATGAGTTGGCTCACCTTCTATCCCAACAGGAGCAATACCCTCACTGCTGGCTCCTGGCTCTTCTTCTAACACTAAATCACACTGTGTGAAAATGGTCACAATTCAGCATTCATTTTCCTTTTTTACACGCTTTCTGATCAATGCTGAATCATCTAGCATTTTAGAACACTTTCATATGGAGCCAGGATAGTTTATCATCATATACATTTTAATAATATTCAGTTCACTGACTCAATAAGTAATCCTACCTGTACATGCCCACTCTGGAATTGTGGGCTTCTGCCTGGTGCTTACTAGGCCTACTGGATCTTGTGTTTGACTCTGAGGGGCTACAAGACAGTTTGGTGGCATCAGTCACATCATACTGTTAATTATATTACATAACGTTATGTCATGATGCCATATAATTCATTAGCTTAATTAACTTGAATGGTGATTTGCAGCCGGTAAAGTTTAACATCTTGACTTGCCTTACCCGTTTTATCTTCATTTGAAGTTAAAGACCGCAAGCTTGTTTGAGAAAAAAAGGTGCTCATTTTTGCACATTTAGCTGCATCTGTTTCCAGCGCTTTCCTCTTTTTAATTCTTGCCTTCTCCGCGCCACCCTTGCTCTTTCTACTTTCCATCTTTCCGTCAACTGCGTGGTCACGTGGTGCGCACAGGCGCATACGGGGGAAAAAAAACGAGCTGCAGCCTGCAGGTAGACAGCCGGGAGGAGCGTATGTGATCAGCCCGGCGGCCTCAGTGCCATGACTGAACACCGGCACCAAACAAAATAAAAATAAAATGATAAAAAACAAAAACGAGAGCACCGGCCCATGCGGCCCAAACACCGCGCGGCCCACCGGGAATTCTCCAGACCCTCCCGATTAGCCACTCCGGGCCTGGTGGACACCGTGACTGGATTTAGTTAGTTTTCATATTTATTCTCTCATTTCTTTCCTGTTAGTTTAAAGCAGAAAATCTTTAAATTGGATTTTTGTTTACATGTTTAAATCCATTATTTCTACTAGGACTGCTTCGCTGTGATGAGAGGAGAGATAGTAGGTCCTCTCATGTGGCAAGAAGCACTTGTCTCCTCAGAGGGCTTCAGTACTTGCTTCCTCATGGAGAACATGTCTCACCTTCGTTGGCTGCATTGTCCTAGTAACACACCCTGCCCCCTTACTGAGTAATTATGTGTTTTGTCAGACAGAAGATAAATAGTGTGTGTGTGTGTGTGTGTGCGTGCGTGCGTGCGCGCGCGTGCGTGCGTGCGTGCGTGCGTGCGTGCGTGCGTGCGTGTGTGTGTGTGTGTGTGTGTGTGTGTGTGTGTGTGTGTGTGTGTGTGTGCTGCAGTGGAGGAATATAGTAGCTTCCACAGCCCTTTTTTTAAAATACGAGGGGCTGAAGAGAACACCACAACTCTAAAGCATCAATTATATTCCTCTGTCTATTACGCCTCCCGTTTCCTTTTCTCCTCCTGCAGTAAATACAATGTAACCTTGTCACCAGCGTCTTCTCCACCTCGGCATCAATTTGTCAAAGATTCAGCAGCGGTGAATAGCAAGCAGTATGTTGTGATCATCCTTCTCATCTTTCACTGTCATCCTGATATTGATCAGTTAATATTTTGTTTTGCCTGAGAGAAGAATGTAGGTGTTTTTATAAGTGTGAGGATAATTTAGACTTGTCTCCTAGTAGATACGCTGTAGATATATGTGGTTTCCACAGCGTAGCTCCACAGCTTACTCCGCACTTAATCTTAGCTCTGTGTGTGTGTGTGTGTGTGCGTGCGTGCGCGCATGTGTGTGTGTGCGTGCGTGCACATTGCTCTGCAGCAAAGTGATCCTACAGCTGAACACCTGCAGAGTACAATTTTATGAGTTTTTCTCTGTGGTCCGTCTGCTTTGCTCTAAATGTTTTAGTTTGTTTTGAAAAGTTTTTATTGACAAATACAAAATTAAAAAATTACATTCTAATTCACCCTGGTGTTGAGTAATGCTCTATAATAAAATATCTCAAATTTTATGCTTAAATCAATAAAGTATAGCTTGTTTCAATTTGAAATCAATTTTAACGAAAGATGAAGGTTTTAAATGTTGACTCTGATTAAATCAATTAGTGTTTCTGTCGTTAAACGTCCCACCATCTACAGATGTGTCAAAATGGGAAAATGGATTTAAATCCAACTAAAACTGAATCCACCTAATTCATGAAGTACATTTAAAATGGCTAGTATTAACCAAAGTGCTCTACCTTAAAGACTGATAATCACCAGTTAGGTTTTATTTTGTTGAGAAAACTGCTCATATTATAGTTCCTTATGTGATGTTTTATGCATAAAATATTCAGAAATGAACAAAGTTAACGTAGACTTTTTTAGAGTGTAGATGTTTGTTTTAGGAAATGTGCCTTCCTGTTATAACAAGATCTGTTTGAGTGATACCCAATAGGAAAATAAAGCCAGTTACAATCTAATGGATCTGTTAATGAAAAGGTGCAAAAGGGTTAAGAGAGAAAGATTGAGAAATAAATTTACAAAGTCTAGTCAAATGCATGTGTTTATAGTTTCAGGAGTGGAAGGCCGGTTGTGTTTTCCTGTAAATGACGATCGAATATGGGATAGTTGAGCCTTGAACCTTTGGGTACCATGACGTTGGGGCGTTTTTTTTTTTTATTTAAGTTTAAAAGATAAGGAACACTGAAAAAACGTTTTAATGATTATTTCTGATCATAAACATTCATTCTGAGTTTCTCATGCAGACTGAACATGAAAATAGTCTCCCACACCTACCTGCTGCATTAGCGTCTGATAGAAAATAGACGGTGAAACTCTAGGATTCTCTAGGACAGATCTACGTCCCACTGTCACTTAACATTCATGGACTCACCCATCTTCACTCACGACGGGGAAGGCTGCTGTTGGTTTAGCGTACAGGAAACAACAGAGAACGTCCCAATGAGCATAAGCTAACCGTTAGCATTAGCAGCTTCACCCTACAGCAGAAGCTCCTCCAGTGGTAGAGTTGTGTTGCTGTTAAGCCTGATTTATGCTTCTCCGTCTGCGTCAGTGCGGAGACACGCAACACCATTATCCATCCTTGCGTAGGGCTCCGGCAGGCACGCAAGTACGTACGGAGTCGAGCCCACTTTTTTAAACATCCGTCGAACGAGACGGATTATGCAAGCTTGTGATTGGTCAGGACGCCGCTGTTGTTTACAGCGCTGCCATTGCAAAGAGAGCCGAGGATAACTAGCGGCAGACAGGGAGACGCTTGAAGAATACCTCGCGAAAAACTTCTAAAAATATGAATGTTTAATTCTCCCGTGACTGGAGGAGTGAAAAGATGCGCAGCAAGCGTTTTATTTGTGGATGGAAATGACAGGAAACGTGGGTTTAGAGGTGGCGAGAGCATGAAGAGGTGGAGGAGAATGAGAGACAAATTTGTCCGTGTTAAAAGTCTCTTATATACAAAAAACACAATATAAACACACGATCTTGGACCGATGGATGACAGGATACCACAGAACAGCGCTACGCCCTCTGTTGTCCTGCCGGGCAATTGCTTTGCAACACTCTCCAGGAGACGGAGAAGTATGAGAGCAAAACGCTTCCGTCAATCCGTGCGCGTCTGTCCCTTGTGGAGCTGATGGAGAAGCATGAATCAGGCTTAAGCCAGTCAGAGGTGAGATGACTTACAAGAAAATAATTCCTACTAGAGAACACTGCAAATGTATTGATGAAATGAGTTTCCCACACCTTTAAGATGATATAAAACACAAGTGAGAATCCACTGCAGGAAGAGTCTCTTTTTGTTATTGGGACAAAATCTTTTACACAAAGACAATGAGAATATTTCTGCGTATGAATATTGTTCAGCTTCTTGTTTTGTGCAGATGTGAAGGCTTATTCCTCTGCTACACGTGTTTTTTGAAGTTTGTAGATGTGTGATTGATGGAGACAGGCGCTGCTACTCCAGATGACGTAGTCATCGGTACATCAGCCAGCGTCTGAACAACCACACATCATTAATCACACCAGGCCTGTCCTCCATAACCCTGTCCTGTCATTTGTTGAAGCTTTAACCATGCTAGCCGTCCTGTTTTATGAGCCATCCACTCGTACTTATGTGCAGAGAGATAAATCACTTCAGCACCTAATCTGTGAGCCGTTGGAGCTGGTTGTGTAGTTTGACCTGCAGAGAGGTGGATGAAGGTGAAATGGGGCAGGAGACGAAGCTGCAGGGTCTCCTGCTGGTATAAAACACCGAGTCCAGAAATCAGAGGGTGGCTCTGTCTGTAAATCAGTTTTATGACCGGTGTTGTCAAAGGATCGTTGAGCAAGGCAGAAATAAAACCTTAACTGTTTTGACCTTTGGTTCACTCTGTAAAAGTGTAATTGTTGTGACAGATTTACAGTGCTGCACAAAAGTTTTACACCACCACCAGTGTTTTGCGTCAAGGAGGTAGATTTTCTTGTAGTCTATTAAATTACTCTTGATTGGCAGCTCTTTGGGTTTTTTAGGGTATTTCACTCGTTTTCTGTCCAGTTCTTTTACCCGACCACGATATTAAACATCAAAGGTCTAAAAAACAGCAAAGCATTTTAAATCAAACTATTTAATCTTTGCTGTTTTTAAAAGAATCAGCAAAATTATTAGAAAAAAATTGTCTTTTCATACAGACTGTTGGTAGTAATGCGCTTACAGATCCTACTTAAAACTGGTTTACCAAGTTTTCTGTTGTGTTGGCAGAAAGTCGGTTCATCCCTTGAGTTAAGCAGCGTTTATCTCTCAATCGTTAATTCATAGGCCAGAGCTTCGCGACCTGAGAAGACGATATAAAAATGTTTGGGTCCTGACAGAAATGAGAGGAAAAGCAGTTAAAGTCTTTGAAAGACCGTTAGAACGTCCACTTTTTACAGGTTGTAAAAAAAGCTTTTGTTTGGGGGTCAAATATGAAAAATAAAGGAAAATTCAAGACTTTTCCCACTGGCACGTCTTCCAGTGAGGAAGCAGAGTCCGGGAACTTTGGGTTGGATGCTCCAATCTCTGGTGCTGAGGTCACTGAGGTGGTGAGGCTCCTCGGTGGCAAGGCTCCGGGGGTGGATGAGATCCTCCTAGAGTTCCTTAAGTCCTTAGGGCTCTGATGTCGTAGGGTTGTGCTGGCTCTGGCTCTGCAATATCGCATGGACATCTGAGGCAGTTCCTCTGGACTGGCAGACTGAGGTGGTGGTCCACAGGGTGTGTTCCAGCTACAGAGGGATCACACTCCTAGCCTCCCTGGTAAGGTCTATTCAGGGATTCTGGAGAGGAGGGTTCGTCAGATTGTCCAACCTCAGATTCAGGAGGAGCAATGTGGGTTTCGTCCTGGCAGTGGAACGCTGGACCAGCTCTACACCCTTAGAGGGGTGCTGGAGGGTGCGTGGGAGCTCGCCCAACCAATCTACATGTGCTTGGTGGATTTGGAGAAGGCGTTCGACGCATCCCTCGGGAAAAGGGTAGAATGCCTTCTCCGGGTCAGGGATGAGGTCCTGCCTCAAGTAGATGAGTTTAAGTATCTCGGGGTCTTGTTCACAAGTGAGGGAAAACTAGAGCGTGAGATCGATAGGCAGATAGGTGCAGCGTCTGCAGTGATCCGGAAGTTGTACCGATCTGTCGTGGTGAAGAGCTAGCTGAGCTCTCGATTTACGAGTGGATCTACGTTTCTACCTTCATCTATGGTCACGAGCTTTGGGTAGTGACTGAAAGAATGAGATTGTGGATAAAAGTGGCCAAAATGAGTTTTCTCTGCAGAGTGGCTGGTCTCTCCCTTAGAGATAGGGTGAGAAGCTCTGTCATCTGGGAGGGATTCAGAGTAGGCCCACTGCTCCTTCACGTCAAGAGGAGCCTGTTGAGGTGGTTCGGGCATCTTGTTAGGATGCCTCCCTGGTCAGGTTTTCCAGCCACGTCCAACCGGGAGGAGACCTAAGGGAAGACCCAGGACAAGCTGGAGGTACCATGTCTCTCAGCTGGCCAGGGAACGCCGTAGGATTCCCCCGGAGGAGCTGGCCCAAGTAGCTGGGGAGAGGGAAGTCTGGGCCTCTCTGCTGAGGCTGCTGCACCCGTGACTCGACCCCGGATAAGCGGTCGAAAATGGACGGGTGATCAAGACTTTTGCACAACACTCCGTTGTCTCTGCATCATTTAGATATTTGTAAGATAAGAATAAAACATGACTTGGACTGTAGCTCCTTGGTGTAAACACATCAGTTTGATGCTTTTCAAATCAGTTTCTCCTAAAAGACAGCAAAGGCGGCCTGATGGAAATCATTTAGTGTTTAGGAAATCTGAATTTGTCTCAGAAAACCAACTTATAAAAAACTTCTGAATAATTTTCTAAACAAATTCACACACGAGGAGTTTTAATGCATGTGTTTTCTCTGTCTGATGTGTGTGTGGTAATACTGTTTGCAATGGGTTTGTTGTTTTAGTGTTTAACATTCATGCTGGTGTTTTGTTTAGGGGGTTCCTGGGAGTCCCGGCTCACCTGGTAGAGAAGGCCCACCAGGACTCAGGGTAAGAAATTCAGCCCAACATCCCATCTGCTGCTGGGATTGGGAAAATTTCACAGTTGTCTGGTTTCACATTACAGATGTCTAATTTCTTTTAAATTCATTCTGTTTAGCTTCTGACAGTAAGGTGACATGTCTTTGATGCAAACGATTGCATCAAGTGCAACCCATGAATTAAAAGTAGAAAGTAGCAGTGGGACTGCTTTGACTGTGAGCTTTGGCGTTGTCATCCATCTGTGCCACTGAGAAAACCATCCAGAGTTTGGCAGAATCTAAGATTTTAGATCCAAATTCCTCTGCCTGGTTCTGCCTTCTGTCACATCAATAAACACCTGTCGTTTTGGTGCTTGTTGATCTCATTTTCTTCTGCTTTAAAATGCTCCTTCAGAAGAAAGCTGGAGGATTTGGGTGAAGAAAAATGAATTGAATCGTGTTTGTTTGATTTTGAGGTCTCTGGATGTGTTGCACCTGATGATCCCTCGGTGTTGGGTCTCAGGAAGCCTCCTCTCTGTGGTTGGCTTGGATGATTGGTGTTTGATCTGCTGGAGAGTGTTCTTCACTTGGCTGGATGTCATGGGGGTGCTTTAATTTATGTACTCGTCTACCAGAGCTGGTATTCTGCCTGGGCCGTTGTATCTTGTTGAGCCTAGTCATGGCTTTCTCTGTTTTTGTTGTTGCAGCTTAAGAGCAGCTCGATCTGTTTTATTTCAGGGTTGTTTTGTTGTGGCTTCAAAACACTGATGCAAATGCAACCCTTAAAACTGTAGAATTCATTATATTTATTTTTTTGTGAAAGGCTGAGAGCAGCAGATGAAAACATTTTTGCCTAAACTTCTTCTCCAACATATATTTCAATAGCATCAAAAAAGCAGACGTGCACCAGGGACAGACCTCTTTAGTAAAGCCAGTTTAAAGCCAGGCGCATCCACAGGCAGCCCAGTGCTGCTGTGGAATTTTATTGAAATGTATATTTACATTCCTGAAAAACACCTGCTTAAAATACTTGAAAACATTAATTTTATGTACCTGTTTTATATTGAACATTTGGTCAGTTTGACTAGTTTTATTGCCTTAAGTTAAATGTTTGAGCAGTGTACAAAATTAGACTTCAAGAGTTGGTTAAATTCAGAGTTCAAAATCAGATTCAGGTTCAGAAACATTGTGCAGATAAGGGTTAGCCCTAGCCACATCATGCAGATAAGGTGGAAAATGTCTAGATGTTGTTCATGAAAATTGGCCCATGTCAGCTCTTGACTTACCCAATCTCTACATCTCGTATCTGCAACACATATTTTAAATAAATTGTAGCTTTCAGGCAAACAGTTAGTATACCAAAAAAAAAACATTTCCCAGATCGAACCATAGTTGTGTTTCCCAGCTGTGTCCATGATCTAAATGCCCAGCTGCGTTGGTCTGAGTTTATGTCTCATCATAAACCAGCTCAAGTCTTCCTCCAGTTGTTGAGAACTGTCCTGCTCAGGTTTTAAGACTCAACATTCACATTAGATGAGATCTCCTTCAGACAGGCTCAGTCGCACCAGCTGGCTGACGCCGATGCTGGCGGTGGAATCAGCCTGAACGGTGCCCAGCTGAGCTGTAAATACCAGAACAGGAGAAACCAGCCAAAGGGTGGAGATGCAACAGGCTGCAGGAGAAGGTTGGTCCAAATGAGAAATGTGATAACAGGAGAGATCCGTCCTGGCCCGGTTCCTAGAGAGGTGGAAGACTCGGCACGTCATCCATCTGCTGTCTGCTTGTTGGCGTTCAGTAGTCCTGGTGCTCATGCCTAAAAGTGGAGCTTGTTAGAAGAACTCGTGCACAGTTTTCACGCCTGTCATGTTGCTTCCTGTAGGCCTTCAGCGTGTTGGCTTGAGTTTCTTACCACTGCCGGTGGGGTTTGTAGTTAATTAAAACAGAAATTAAACTCACGTTTTATTTCAGTGCAATACAAAATGTCTCACTGTTTGTTACTTTAAAACAGCCCTGCTCCTGTAGTATCAGTCTTGTTGTAAATACTGCAGCAGGAATATTTAAAATAACATTGTTGTTATGTAGACCCATTGAAGCGTGACGTCACATAGATGTGACGCTCCCTCACCTCTACCCCCCCAGCCTCTGGCTGGAGGACAAGAAGCCAGCACCTCCCCGTGGACCACCGTTGTGTTTATCAGTTAGTTGTTAATAAACAGAGCTAAATAGTGGCTAATTAAAAATCTACCAGCATGGTTAACGCACATAGAGCTGTAAGCTGCACAAGTAAACAAAAGGAGAGTGAGTAGGGCTGGGCGATATGGCCTAAAATCAATATCACAGTATATTGAGGATTTCACTTCGATAACGATAAATGAACGATAACTACAGGAATGTGCAGAAACAAAAGTTTTCCACCAGATGGTGCTGTGACGTGCGTTAAGTTGAGTCACGTTTTTACGTGACTTAAGGTGATGCAGCTTCTTAAAGGGACATGAATGTTGCCAACCTACACACATGTTTTCATTTTTATCATCAAATTTATTGACATGGGAAAAATTATCTCGATAAGAGTCAGAAATGTCGATAACGATAAATTTTCAATTTATTGCCCAGCTCTAACAGCAAGCATTAAATTTGACATGTTTCCAGTTGATACGACACTGAAGGCAGTTGTTTACAGCCTATTCTAGAGGATAAACCTCCTGCATGGTGGCAGACAAAAATAAAAAAGTTAAATATCTGCCCACATGTCCAGAAACAAACAAATTACTGCCGTTTCATGGCTTATATGCATAATTATATAATTATGCGCGACAGCAGGGGGCGGAGCCTGGAGAACCGAGCGGATCCAGCACAGCAAGGCAGAGCTGTTCTGCTGATCAGTCCTCAGACACAAACGTGTGTGAAAGAGACAATGCCGGTGTGGTGTGTAGTTCTGTGTGTCTTGTTACATAATTACACAATATGTGTTGTGTAATGGTGCTTTCCACACAAAAAGCAACTTCCTGTATTGAATCTACCTGTCTATGCCTGTCTTCTGCTCTCTGCTGGAGTATCTAAGTGCTGCAGGGAGCGAGTCCAGGAAACTGATCTGATCAAATGAGCCTTCACAACAACCTTCAGTCATTCACCCATTCACACGCTGGTGGGGATGAGCTACATTGTAGCCACAGCTGCCCTGGGCTGCACTGACAAACAATGGCGCCACCGGTCCCTCCGACCACCACCAGCAGGCAAGGCGGGTTAAGTGTCCTGCCCAAGGACACAACGGCAGCATTCTCTGGTCTGAGCCGGGATCGAACCCACAACCTTCCAATAACTGGACAACCTACCTCCTGAGCTACTGCTGTCCCATAAAGGTCTAAGCTCCAGTTGACTGTGATAAAGTTGCGTTGTCTGCTCATAAAAAAACGCCATCTCATCTTTCTTAAACTGTTTTCACAGAAGCCATTATTTAAGAGTGCAGACAATACTGTGTGCTAAATCATTCAAACATAGATTTCAGTGACCAGAAATCTGATCTCTATTTAAAGGAGTTGTGTGTTCTCTACTCCTACACACGCTTTTAATGTGGGACCAGGTTCCTGTTAATGGGGTCTCCAGATTCTCTTAAAACAACCTATCAATCAGTTATTCCTGCAGAAAGCAAAGAAAAGGACAGAAAAGTGACTATTGAGTATGTATGTTTTCACCTGAAGCACTTATCTGATCATTAGATGTTTTAAAGGGGCCTTATCTGTGCTAATTTCCCTGATTGTGACATCATAATAAGGGACTTTTGGAAACGGCTCGTTTTAGACACATAATTCCTGAAATCGAACACTGACAGAAAACTGAGGTTGTTTTTATTCACGTTTGGAGTGTTTATAGAGGCAGTGGAGGCCCCCACGACAACACAAAAGGATGCAAAATGTCAGATTTGCATAATATGTTCCCCCTTATTAGCTAAAACGTTTCATCATCTACCTGCACTGTCCAACGCGCACAGAAAGCGCTGCATGTTTGCCAATGCAGTTATTTGTTGTAATCATGCTAAATTGCCAGAAAGCAATCTTAGCTGTTATCAGCTGGAAAAAACAAATCAGACATAGGTCACAATTTATTTTCAATCTGTTCTCTGATTGGTACAAATGTTACTGCAATGCCTCTGTAAACTCAGACTGAATTCAACAGATAAAAGAAACACAGATTAAATTCATTTCAGTTTATCTGATGCTATCTGTGCTGCAGCAGTCATTTGTTAGCAGTATTCATCTGACAGTAATGTAGAAAGTACAGCAAACAGTCATTTTAAACAAATCCTGATTCGGGCTTGTTGGAAATACACGATATGTTAAAACCCTTTTAAAAGTCTGGCTGAAAGGGTGCTGCAGCAGCAGCCTAACAACTGTCTCCTGGGTGTTTTATTTGTCCAAACTGGGATAAAATGGACCGTGATTTTGTCTTTGGTTTCATTAGAGAGCTGTTTCTGCCCCGGGTCTGGCTGAGAAGACCCAGATCTTTTCTGAGATCCATGCTCATAAAAACCTGACAGGTTGACGCTGTCATTTGGCTACAGTCGTGTGAGACTGAGATTAATCCAGGACCTCTGAGACTTGAGCTCTGCATTTTAATTGAATTGCACGTCACCCTTCTGCAGCAGATGTGGTTTGAAATTGTGAAGGTGATTTGAGTGTGCATGCAGAAGTTGGAATTAAATGAGCTTTTATTGTTTATTCAAACTTGCGCTCAAACCTTCTGCAGCTGAATGTGACAGCGGAAATAAATTGTCATGAGTTTTATTAGCGAAGGCGGGAGGCTCAAGTTCTTATTTTGGATTTTAAACAGAAATAAAATAAATGTAAAAAGGACTACAAGTGGTGATTCAGTACTCTGCAGAACTCTCTAATCAGTGTTTTTTAATTAGTTTTTATAATTTTTTTGTTGTTGGTGGATTTTTTTTACTGTGGCTGCTTCACCCACATCATACAATGAAACATTTAGAGGACCGTCCAGACCTCGCTGAGATTTTATTTATTAGACATTTAACACTGACTCGTGAGTCACTCAGGCTTTAAAAAGCCACCTAAAGGCTGAAAAAAACTGCTGTTATTTAATTAATAAAAAACAGTTTCTTATGAAACAAGTGTGTTTTTAAATGCTCTAAAACACAATATGACATGTACAGTAGTGTTTTGGCTGCGGGCAATATATTATTTTCTACAAGAATGCTAAATTTAGTAGACCATTGGTGCAGGACAATCAGATCCTGCATCAGGTCTAAGATGGATTGATAAAACAACAAAGATGATTTCATTTACTCAAGACACTTCATAATGCTGAGAAATGTAATGTTTAATGCATACGACTTGATTTTTATCCAGCACTATAGATGTTCCTGAGAATGTTGCTTTAACATTATTAAGCCATGATGAAAGCCCCTCTGGCGTTGTTTTACTCGTGTTTCCTGTATTTGTGAATTAGTCCCTCAACGTCTTGAAGACTTGAAGATCTAGGCACACAGGTGTTTTTAAATGTTTGAGCTGAATTTGAACTGTTGAGAGTAGGTTTGCCGTATCTCTGACTGAGTGACTACTGAGCGAATGATCTGATGCTCTCTTCTGACTGCTCAGGTGAGAAGCTCGTGTGGCTGATGGCTTCTGATTATAGATGGTTACAGAGTGAAAATTATTCTCATCAAACTTAAAAACCAAGTTCAATGAGAAGCTTTTTTTTTTTACTAATTGTTTTTCGGTCACTCTGAGTTTAACATGCATCATAAACTTTAACCCCTTTATTCTGCATTAGCCGCTGATAGAAAATAGACAAATAAACGCTGAGATTTAAAAATCCAGTCAGATCTGCGTCACACTAAAAATTAAAATTCATGGGCTCATCATCTTGATTTGTGACGAGGTTGACTTGGCATCCAGGAAACAGCAGAGATTGTCTCAGCTAGTACAAGCTAACCATTAGCATTAGCAACTCCACCACACAGCAGAACTCCTTCAGGCTTGTGTTATTTGTGGAGATAAAACATCAGCGTTGCAAAGAAAATGGAGTCAGTGGTAGAGTCACGTTGCTGTTAGCCAATCCGAGGTGAGATGTCCAAATATCAGGACTCCAGATTCTTCTGTCTTCTGCTCCCCTCTGCTCTGGTTCACTAGCCTGGCAAGCAATCCTATGTATGTAAATATATAGTCATAAAGCATTGGAACAATCTGGTCGAGGGGCAGAGTCTACAGTTCAGACTGTCTCCACATGCAGTTGGACAGTGTTAGAGTAGGAATTCGAGAAACGTGATTGGTAGCTAAGACTCGTGCTCTCATTGGTTCCACCCAAGTTCCTCCCACTGACGCTAGAATCGAGACAAAAAGATTCGTAACACTGTAGGATTTGAGGTTTGTACCTGTAGAATGAAATGTGTGTTTTGAGAGTTTTGATTTCAAACTTGTACCTTGATTTTTTCAATTTGGAAGTCTGCTAGTTACAAAACGAAAGTTTCATGTTTCTGAGTGAATGTTTGATGTTACAAAATGAGTAGTAAATGTACAAAATTAAAGTTTGATTTTACAAAATAAAAAATACATGTACAAAATACAATGTTCCTGTTACAAAACAAGAAATACAAGTACAAATTGAGAATTACAAGTTTGAAAACTAAAGTTACAAGTTACGAATCCAAAGTTACATGTGATGAAACATGTTCGAAGTTACAAAACTTGGTACAAGTTACGCTGAATATTGTCCCAATCCTAGTTCCATATTAGAGCCAATCAGAGCAACAAACAACGTGACATATTCACCGCTTTGGGAATCAGTCAATGGCAGTTCACCATACACGTAGAAGAAGCAAATAAATCTTTTTTGCTAAATAAATGACTAAAGTGCCTCTATCTGCTCATGTCTCAAAGAAAAGCCCAAGTCTAAATGGTCCAAAGTTGATTCCAAAGCTGTTTCAAACAGTGTCGTTCCTAACACCATCTTTGTAGTTCTTCATCTTTGTAACTCAACAGGGAGTCTAAAGCTTGGTTTATACTTGACGCATTCACTTTCCGCGCGGTGATGCGGCTCGCGGCTGGAACGTGCTTCACAACTCGCAGTGTTTATGGTTTGTGTGGCTCGTCTCTGTGGTGAGCCAATATTCTCCCAAACTGAACGGGGCAGCATGGAGCTCTACAGCATGCATCCAACACTACACCACAGTAGAAGTAGAAATTACTGTTTACAACATGACATTTCAGCATTTTTAACAGCGTTCTCATCTTTTCCTACAGTGCGAGCTATTTCTCTCCAAGAACTATTAACAACATGTTGATCACGGTGATCTTTGAGAGCTGAATCATACAAATGTCTGTATTTACGAACCTCTGCCGTGCCGGTCCGCCATGTTTTTCCGCGTCCGACCGTCCGCGTGGTTAGAAATTTTCCGAGGTGCGCGTTGCGGAAATCTTGGGCTGTGCGGAGACGCGGTGGAGGGGCGTGGTTGTTAAAATGACGCAAAATGACGCAACTTTTCCGCGCGGAGCCGTGCGGACCTCGCGGACGCGTCAAGCATAAACCAACCTTAAGTCACGCCCACCTACTTCAGCATCACAGGACCCGGGAAGAATGAAAAAATAAATGCAAGTCGACGGGGCTAAAAACGCTATTTTCTAATTCCGCTTGTTATGTTCCATGGATTTCACATGACATGTCCGTGAATTTTAAAGACAAATTTTGATACAAAGAACGTGTTTATTTTCGAATAGGGGAAACGATATTTTAGGTTTTGTGTAAGTCCAGGACTACAAATGCGCTTCACGAAAGTGACGTCATCAAACCAGACACGGAGAAAACTGAGGGAAAAGGGCTGTAAGTTCAGCAAACTTACAGCCCTTTTGGTGGAAAGAACCACCATAAAATCTGGTCATGTGGTAAGTAGCAGCTACGCTAGGGGAGAGGAGATTGTGTGGTGACGTCACATATGCGACGTGCCGATTTCTGGTGTGTAGTCATGCTAAACACGAACTTTTACAAGCTGATAAATCTCAAAGTACATGACTGGCATGGTCGAAACACCCATCATTACTTTTCATTTAAAGTACAGTACGACATATGTGTGATCCAGGGCGTAAGGCAAAGCGGATTAGAAAATAGCGTTTTTAGTCGCATTGACTTTTTGCATTCTTCCGGGGACCCATGGTGTGGAAGTAGACTTAGGCTCCCTATTGCAAAGCCCACCCAACAAACATGGTGCAGTGATTGGCAAGACACAGAAGTGTTCGGGCCAATGGTAGACCTGCTGAGGCTACAATGGAGCGTGGCTAGATTTCTATGCTACTGGCTCACTGCTAGTTCCTGAAACAGGAGCACCACAGCCTGTTTCCCACAGAGATCGACTCACAGGGATAAAGCAGACCACTGCAAATGTATCGAAAATAATTTGTGAACTTGGTCTTCAAGTACAGCAGAATAACTTTGTAGAACACAGAGAACTATTTGCTACTATAAATGTTGTTTTTCAGTCTAATGTCAGCTTTCCAACATTTTTTTATGTTTGTTCCACTTCAAAGCCTAATTAATGCATCTGAAAGACAATCAGGATTCATTATGAAATAAAAGGATCCTTCAAACCGTTTTCCTGTAATCTGATGCTAAGTTCTTCTTCCAGACTGCTTTAAAACACTGGATTTGTTCAGCTGAAATAATCCATAAATGCTGCTTCAAACAAGCCATCATAATATCATTATACATCATATGTCCTAAAACCCAACGGTCAGCCTGCAGAGCTGCCAGCATGAGGATAAAAGCTGTTGTTTCACTTTAATATGTTCTTCATTAATAATCTCAGCATCAAAGAGACAGTTTGAGTGTTCAAAATAAGTTTGGATATCATAGTAAATCTAAGTAAAACCTGCTTCAGATTGACTAAACCTGGTTTATAAAGGGTTCAAACCAAACAAATATGTTTTACAGAGTATGATGAGAGCAGAAGAAACATCTGTTCACTTGGTTTTCTTCAGGAGATTATATCTGAATTGTTTTTGAATGTAATTTGTCCATGTCAGCGTCATCCACTGGCTTCCAAGAATTTCCCAAACTACAGTGAAGAGCATGTGCGATATGATAAATGTCTCATTTGTTCTGTTTCAGGGTCAGACGGGGAACAGCGGACCACAGGGACGACAAGGACCCACAGGACCTGTCGTAAGTTGGGTTTATTGATATGTGGACCATCCTCTAGGAAACCACCTGTTCTGTCGCAGCTTCAGTCATCTCATATCCTGTGTATTCTCTCAGGGAGCGCCGGGAGCTCCAGGAGCTCCAGGACCAGGTGGGCCAGCAGGGTCCACAGGAGATCAAGGACTTCCTGTGAGTCCTAATGTCTTACTCTTTTTGGTTATATAAAGCTTTACTTAGTGCATATTTTTCAAAACAAACATAATTTAACCCTTCATTTTAGAGATAATGCAGCCTTTTATCGTCACCCTTTTAGTTAAAATCAAAAGATTTAGATGATCGTAAAGGCAAATGCTCTCACATTTGCCGAAAACTGTAAGTAGTTCATGTTTGTTGTTGTTTTTGTAAAATCTACATCTGTGTGAGTGACACACAACATGGATGAGAATCCTCAAGTGAAGCTGTTAAACTCTGTGTAACCATAACAGATGACGCTGTGATGTTGGTGACAGCTAAGCTGGTCTCGGGTCAGCTCTCCAGGCCACACACACACACACACACACACACACACACACACACACACACACACACACACATTCAGAAAGAAATGCCATGTGTTTGAAATAAAAAAATTCTATGAATGCACAGAAACACAAATATATATATAACCATCTCTGATCACATCACCCCTGTTAGTCAGCAGCTTCATTGGCTGCCAGTAAAGCTCAGGGTCCACTTCAACATTTTACATATAAGACCATTCATAATCTTGCTCCCTCTTATCTCTCACAGGTCCAACAAGTCACTAAACTCTCGCATGCTCAGATCCTCTGCTTCCATCCACTTGACTAACCCACCTGCATGTTATATCACGATGGGATACCAAGCATTTAGCAGATCAGCCCCCTCCCTATAGAACTCCTTACCTGCTCACCTTAGGAACATGACTAGCCTGTTCCACGCTAATATCAAAACTCATCTCTTCAAAATTGCTTATTCACTGTAAATGTTACTAGTTTTTTATCTGATGTTTTATTTGGGTTTTACATTTTCTGACTGAATGGCGCCTCAAATAAAATGTATTATCATACATACTCTATCATCTATCTATCTATCTATCTATCTATCTATCTATCTATCTATCTATCTATCTATCTATCTATCTATCTATCTATCTATCATCTATCTATCTATCTATCTATCTATCTATCTATCTATCTATCTATCTATCTATTTATCTATCTATCTATCTATCTATCTATCTATCTATCTATCTATCTATCTATCTATCTATCTATCTATCTATCTATCTATCTATCTATCTATCTATCTATCTATCTATCTATCTATCTATCTATCTATCTATCTATCTATCTATCTATCTATCTATCTATCATCTATCTATCTATCTATCTATCTATCTATCTATCTATCTATCTATCTATCTATCATCTATCTATCTATCTATCTATCTATCTATCTATCATCTATCTATCTATCTATCTATCTATCTATCTATCTATCTAGCTATCTAGCTATCTAGCTATCTATCTATCTATCTATCTATCTATCTATCTATCTATCTATCTATCTATCTATCTATCTATCTATCTATCTATCTATCTATCTATCGTAAATCCTCTAATACAGGCCCGGGCCTGTATTTGACTCAAGCTCATCAAGCTCCAGGCCTTTATTGGAAGGAGGACCAGAATTAGAGGCAGGTCTCAATTTCTATTTGAGCAAAATGAACTAATGGTTCGCTGGAGTTTTTGACAATTAAAAGTGCGCCCACATTTTCAAAGTTAAACACATTTCTTTTAACAACGGTAGTTCCTGCTTCAGCCCTCTCCCCCCTCCCCCTGCGCAGCGCCGCAAACTCACTGATGCGCCTGCAGCCTCTCGGAGTTCCTGCTGCTCTAAACATTAAAATAATTATTTCATTTTCTGTTCCTCACTTCTGATGACCTTCAATGGTGTCTGTTTGTTGCAACAGCAGGTACAAAAACTAACTTGTTTTTATTTGACTATTTTTCTGTCCTGTCTGTTTATTATCTTCCTGCATCTCCTCTCAGTCCTAAAGAGAAACTGCTACCCGCCTTCATATATATTCACCTTATGAGTTACCTTTGAACCGCAGTTCTAAAAGATCTACCGACCGCAAAAACAGCGGAGTGCCGCTGCTTGGCGGCCGCATCAGTGATCAGTGCGTCACCGGATGACAAGTTGATGCGCCCTGCTCCACAGCAAAACGCATCAGGCGCAAATAAAAGACAGAAAACATCAAAGGAAATGAACCGACATGAACGATCGCGTGTTAAATAATTTGGCAACACCTGATTGTTACTGTGGCCGTGCTCAGTAGGCAGATTACCGACCACAAAAACAGCGGAGTGCTCGCTGCTTGGCGGCCGCATCAGTGATCTGTGCGTCGGAGGACAAGGTGATGTGCCCCGCTCCACAGCAGCGAAACACATCAGGCGCAAATAAAAGACAGAAAACATTAAAGGAAATGAACCGACATGAACGATCGCGTGTCAGTACCGACGCTCTGGCACAGCGCGTTGCCCCCCCGAGCGCAGGAGCTTGTCACCTGCTGACAGCAGGCTGCTGTCTTTTCCAAGGGCTGCATCTTGCCGGTCATTATCACGTGACAGCGACTAGTCGATGATAGGCATAAAAAGTCCCTATAGTGAAGTCGACTAGTTCATACAACCCCTATTGCTCCCCAGTGTTCTGCAGCGCACGTTCTCTTTGAACTTGATATCAAATTTTCGCCTCCTCTTCGTCTCCGCATGGTTAAAGTTACCCTCGCGGTCTATCACTGGCAAATCAAAAGTGAGACGATGACACAACCGCCCCCGTACTTGCTTGTTACCACATTCCACCCGGCCACAATAAGAGGCCGGCCATTATTCACCTCCGCCGACTCCGACGCCGGCCAAAATTGGAGACCCGGCCTTTAATTGAATACCGGCCTGTATTAGAGGATTTACGGTATCTATCTATCTATCTATCTATCTATCTATCTATCTATCTATCTATCTATCTATCTATCTATCTATCTATCTATCTATCTATCTATCTATCTATCTATCTATCTATCTATCTATCTATCTATCTATCTATCTATCTATCTATCTATCTATCTGTCCGTCCGTCCGTCCGTCCGTCCGTCCGTCCGTCCGTCCGTCCGTCCATCCATCCATCCATCGACCGATCGACGATCGATCGGTACAAAAATAGAGGAAAATTCAAGCTGTAGCATTACAGATCTTTAACCACTACTCAGTTTCTTGCTGTCTGGAAATCTTATGCTTCAAAAAAATCTGTGTTCATGAAGATATTAGGACTAACTTAAAAAATTTGATGAGCATAACAGATTTACTGAAAGTCTAAGTTATCGCTTGCTTGACCGTGTGTGTGTGTGTGTGTGTGTGTGTGTGTGTGTGTGTGTGTGTGTGTGTGTGTGTGTGTTACCAAATCTGGTCTCCAGTCATTGGACCACCTGAGGATCTTTTATTCAAAGACTTCTTTTGACTCGATAGCAACAAGCCTCGTGTTTGCCAGCTACATAAAGAAAAACCGTCCAAAACCTTCCAGGGAATCTTTTATCAGCACACGTTCGACATGCTGTGAAAGAGGAAATCCATCATGAGAATTCTTCCCTCTGCATTTGGAATGAAACCCACGTGGCATAACGGACAGGCAGTTGTGATCAAATCATAAATCACATTTTTATGAGCTATACTGATTTCCCTCCTGTGAGTTTTGCCTCCTTCATTTGGCTGTTTTTCCGTGTCCCCTTGATAAGATAGTGGACGTTCATGTGCCAAGAAACAGTCCAAGCACATCGAAGGTGTCCAGGACGAGACTTTTATTATGGAGGCCTGATCTCTAATTCAGCTGCTGTGTCAAATGTTGGCAGGCTCTTCTATCATCTGCTGTGTAAAATGCATCTAATTTCCCAGGTTAAACACATTTTTATCCAGCTCAGTCCATCAGCTCACACACTAACACAGCCAGACATTTGGTGGTCAAGGGCACCCTCCACCCCCCAAGATAAACAAGATTTTATTCAAAAGCTGCAGCAGTGTTTGAGTCAAGTTGTGTTACAGCTTATATTCATCACATCAGCACAAAATTCTGCAGCCAGGACATGTTTGTCCTTTCTACGTCTCTCGATTAGAACGGGTTTGACTCTGATACGCACCCGCTTGGCTGGGTTTTGACTGTCTGTGTGTGTGTGTGTGTGTGTGTGTGTGTGTGTGTGTGTGTGTGTGTGTGTGTGTGTGTGTGTGTGTGTGTGTGTGTGTGTGTGTGTGTGTGTGTGTGTGTGTGTGTGTGTGTGTTGTGAGCAGATATTCATCTCTTGGGTTTATCGTGTTGACAGTAGCAAGAAGCAAACTCGGTCCGAGCACAGATGCTGCTCTGTTTGTCAGCTCGCTCACACTGGGGCTCGTTGCATTCACCTCGTCAGAGTTTGAATGTTCTGGTTGGTCTGGGCATCTCTGCTTGGGCGAACCGACCCCGGATAAGCGGATGGATGGATTCGTCTGGTGACTTAATGGACAAAGAGTCGCTTTTAAGGGACAGTTCCCCATCAAATGTTTATTTTCTCCCTGTGTTTATTCTGTTTCAGGGCCCAGTTGGTACAAAAGGAGATAAAGGAGAAAGAGTAAGTATTTCCACTTGAGCCACTCTTAGGGCATATTAAGTTTTACGGCTCCACTTTACAATGGAAGTACACTCTCAGACCGTTCACACCCTTGTTTTGAACAAATTGCATTACGCCCTAACAAAGTAACAGTTTCCTGTTGGTCCTGTGCACAAACATGCCGTTTATTTCTCCTCCACACCCTCGGGCTCGTTTAGAGCAAACCAAATTGAATCAGCGTCATGGCGCAGCAGTGCAGTCTGGATTTTTGCTGACGCAGCAGCGAGGCCATCACTGCTGAGGGCTTGTGAGACAACCCGCTTTGCAGACTTGAATCAGAGCTAGACTCCTCTTACGCTTCATTTCATCAACTGTTGGGGACATTTGTGCCTCGCTGCAGCTAATTTCACTTTTAGGACCCAATACAAAAGTCTTTGTACATGAGAGGCTTTTCTGCTCAGTGTTGCACATTTCAGTGAGATGGCCACATTTTAATTTAAAGGGACTGTAAGGAAGTTTGAAGTTTTCAAGCTCGCGATCGCCACTCAGGCCTAACGCGTAACGGCAGCTTCAAAAGTAAGCTCGTGCATGAGGTGTGCATGCTGTACGTGCACACTCCTTAACGAAAATAACAGCTGAGACAGTCCCCTGTGTGTGTGTGTGTGGCCCGGAGGACAGAGGACAGGAGAACGCGCAGCTAATTAATTAAATAATTTGGTTCTGTACCTTTCTCTTCAGCACAGCCGACAAAGGTTTAAGATGGGTCAGTCCTCCTGCATGCTCAAATCATTCCCTTCCCTTGCTTGAAAAATTGTTCCAAAATGAAAGTTGAACCCACATCTTTTTTTCTCCATGAATTCAATGCTGTTCGGCGAGTCTCAAATAAAAATTTGGGCGTCTTATTTCTGTAAAAATATATATCATTAATGTAAAAAAGAAATTCTAAATAAACTATGTTCACACCTGGAATCATACCCAGGCCTTTCAAATGACAGTCAGACATCTTACTATAAGCTAAAGCGCCAGTGACATTGAACCTATCTGTAACATTTATATCCGTGATGACAGCTGAAACAACTTTAATCCAAAGAACGGTTCAGAGTGAAAATGGCTATTTTGTTGCTAATTTGCAGGAAATATCTAGAAGAAAGTTCTACAGAAAGTAGCTAAGTGTCCTCAGAAATGTAGCTAGCTTTGTCACTAGGCGTTAGGAACAGCGACAAAGTGGCACTGCCTCTCTCTCTGCTGCTAAAGCTACGGATAGCAAATGCTACGGGCTATGCCTGAGCGTGAACGCGCATGAAGCAGCCTGCTCGACCCGAGCATCTCTCTTTTTTTGTGATTTTACAGAAAAACAGGCAATCACAGTAAAAATGCCAGGGCTCATTCTACAGGACCAGGGCATTGCAGGAGAATGTATGAAGAAGACATTTATTATTTCTATACATGTTTTGGCTGTCAAACTTCCATAATGTCCCTTTAAGATGTGAAAAATCTGATCAGTAATTTTTAGAATCAATTTTACAACTGATCTTAAAGAGTTTTATATCTTTAGCTGAATACCTGTGACACACACACACACACACACACACACACACACACACACACACTAAAGGACAAAAGAGGAGCCTGAAATAATTAGAAAATGAAAATAAACACCACTTCAGCCCTGAGAATATTTTGTTTTGTTATTTTTTATGATTAGCACACGTGTCAAATTCTCAAAATAAAGACAAAAATATTTCAAAGTGCTGCATATGTTTTGTTGTATAATATTAAAAGTAAAATAACATTTCAAGACGTTTTTAACCCACAAATGAATAAATAAGTAAATTCAGTCAGTAAATATATTTAATTTGGGTTTAATTAATCAGTTTTATCTTTATAAAAATAATGTATTTTACATTTTTAACTTTTTTTTATCAGTTGTATTGATTCACGCATCTTAACTGAGTAATATTTTAGCCTTTTTATTGCTTAATTTGTATTTTATCTGGTTTCGCTGAATATTTTAATTGGCTGATTGGATGTCCTTTATTTTATCTTTCATGTTTAATTCTGTGTTGTAACGGCTTATTGGCCTAGCATAATCACTGTTACCTGTGAGGCGCTTTGGTCAGCTCACATGCTGTTTTTAAATGCACTTGATAAATAAACGGGTACGGTAATTACAAAATAATCAGCGAGGGATTAAAGATAAAATAGCAATCCAGTTTATCAGCAGCTGGTCTCGGAGTTTATCTGGCATTAAGTGTGTGTGTGTGTGTGTGTGTGTGTGTGTGTGTGTGTGTGTGTGTGTGTGTGTGTGTGTGTGTGTGTGTGTGTGTGTGTGTGTGCGTGTGCGTGTGCGTGTGTGTGTGTGTAGGGCGATGTGATGTCCCAATCTGCAGTGAGGACAATTGCTCGGCAGGTGTGTGAGCAGCTGATCCAGGGTGAGTAATCAATGATTTTCTAGAACAAGTCTGCAGCACCAGTTCTAAATAACTCTCAGCTTCTACCACACTCAGTGTTAGTCCAGTAAATGTAAAGCTGCCATTTTTGTCTGCTAGCTATAGCAGCCCTCTTTAGTTCTATTGACTGAGTAAATCGCTAGTAAATAAACATCCAATCATTCACCTTCTGATTTTATTTATTTATTTATTTATTCATTTATTTGTTTATTTATATCCTCTTCCTCTGTTTGTAGGTTACATGTCTCGTTATAACTCCATCTTGAACCAGATTCCTCTCCAGTCATCGTCGTCAGTCAGAACGGTACCTGGACCGCCAGGAGAGCCGGGCAGGACTGGTCCTCCTGGTCCTCAGGGAGAGCAAGGCCCACCTGGCAGACTTGGGTTCCCGGGTACAAATGGCCAGAGCGGTCAGCCAGGTGAAAGAGGTGAGATCAAGAGAGATGTTTAAAGATCCGTTTACGGGTAAAATAAAGATGCTCACTAAACAGAAACGTTAAATCTTAATGGTGCATAATGTAAGAATGACTTGGTCAAATTTGGTTACTACAGCCCATTTTTCTAAACAGAAGTTACTTCCTCACTGCCGTTCCATTTCATGGCTGTTGCCAGTTACAGATGAGTTCCGAAAAACTCATTAAAGTTGTTTCTAAATCACCGTTGGCATTGTTAGCTCAACATTAGCCTCTAGCTTGCTTCACCCAGTTTTAGAGTAAAACAAAAAGACGAGGTGGCTTCTTAGAGTACAAGAAATAACTTCTGGGTTGCTCCTGTTTACTGGCTTTGGTTCGTTAAACAACTCAGGAGCTTTTTGGGAGCTGCATTACAGGGCCGGAGTGGGACACATTTTCAGCCCTGGAGTTTCAGACCCCAGACCGGCCCACTTAAAGAATTATTATTAAAATCATGTTAGAACTTTATATGTATAGTCTACAAAAGCACACTACTCAGTAAAGCCTTGTAATTCAGTGCAAGAAAGAGTTGCTTTACAATGTAGGTTTATTTGAACATCAGTGCACATCTCCAACATTGTTCTTTACAACACATTCTCTAACAATATAACAATCTACATTCTGTTCAAACAGCTGTTCTGAGATTTTCAAATCTTTAAAATGAAATGACTCAGCACTCCCTTTCACACTTTTTCCAGTTTCCCTAGACTCGCCTGCACACAATTAAAATAATCATCTGTAAAACTTTGGCACATCTGATATGGAAAACACATTTTTTGTAACCAATGAAAATATTTTCTATGGCAAAATATGCAGGCTTATTTAATTTTACTTTCATTCTAATAGCGATCTGTTGTGGGCTTTGTGCATTTACTAATAAAAATACAACAGGTCCCTACTATTATTTGGACATTAAAATTATTATAATGAAACTGATGTTTGCACATGAGTTGGCTCACCTTCTATCCCAACAGGAGCAATACCCTCACTGCTGGCTCCTGGCTCTTCTTCTGACACTAAATCACACTGTGTGAAAATGGTCACAATTCAACATTCATTTTCCTTTTTTACACGCTTTCTGATCAATGCTGAATCATCTAGCATTTTAGAACACTTTCATATAGAGCCAGGATAGTTTATCATCATATACATTTTAATAATATTCAGTTCACTGACTCAATAAGTAATCCTACCTGTACATGCCCGCTCTGGAATTGTGGGCTTCTGCCTGGTGCTTACTAGGCCTACTGGATCTTGTGTTTGACTCTGAGGGGCTACAAGACAGTTTGGTGGCATCAGTCACATCATACTGTTAATTATATTACATAACGTTATGTCATGATGCCATATAATTCATTAGCTTAATTAACTTGAATGGTGATTTGCAGCCGGTAAAGTTTAACATCTTGACTTGCCTTACCCGTTTTATCTTCATTTGAAGTTAAAGACCGCGAGCTTGTTTGAGAAAAAAAGGTGCTCATTTTTGCACATTTAGCTGCATCTGTTTCCAGCGCTTTCCTCTTTTTAATTCTTGCCTTCTCCGCGCCACCCTTGCTCTTTCTACTTTCCATCTTTCCGTCAACTGCGTGGTCACGTGGTGCGCACAGGCGCATACGGGGGGAAAAAAACGAGCTGCAGCCTGCAGGTAGACAGCCGGGAGGAGCGTATGTGATCAGCCCGGCGGCCTCAGTGCCATGACTGAACACCGGCACCAAACAAAATAAAAATAAAATGATAAAAAACAAAAACGAGAGCACCGGCCCATGCGGCCCAAACACCGCGCGGCCCACCGGGAATTCTCCAGACCCTCCCGATTAGCCACTCCGGGCCTGCTGCATTAGCTCGGTGCAGACTTGGCAACCTTATAGGCTCACTGATTGTAAACTATGTCCTTCTTTAGTTTTTTTTTTTATTTTTTGAAAGGATAAAAACTGACAACCCCCCAGCCGTCTGAGAATATGTAACCTTGTAACAAGATTGAGACATTGTTCTGGGATTATTTCACTGTAGAATTCTTGCATATTGCTCCTTTAAATGTTATAATTTTAATTTTTTGCTTAAATTCCCTTTCATGTTTATGCGCATGTTTTTACATAAGAAATCATGACATGGTACATTTAAACAGCAAAGGTTTTATTACTTTTGTAGAAAACTCAAGCTCAAAACCAATGCTAAATAAAAAATGCACCATTATCAAATGTTTGCCTAAATGACTGCAGAAAGATTGTTTGGAATGAGCAAACTTATTATTTTTCTAATGAAACCTTATAAAAGCTAGTTGAAGCCCACTGAGATCAGGAGCTCTTTCATGGCCAAGGAAGGCAGCAACGAAGAAGGAGACAAAAAGACATCAACAACAAAAACAAACGTTACAAGTATGTAAGGTGCAGGGCGGTCTTCCTAAACATAGAAAATCCATGAAACACAGAAGACAGTAACTCTAAATCCATGAGGTCATTCTACTGCCACAATGTCCTCAGAGGACAAGCGGACTTTATGCGTCTCTGTCTTCATCGCTGAAACATGCAGCTCACGGTGAAGAGTGGTATTCTGAGTTAACAGGTGCGTGCAGAGGACAAAGAAAGCTATGAACTCTTTTGAATCTCACAATAAAATGTAGATTAAATATTTATTTTTAGAGGTGGAAAGGGCAAGCGCATGGGTTTCTGAAACAGGAAAACTTTTCTATATAGGAGAACGTTTTGGAGAATAACTTTTTATTTGAGGTTATGTAACTCCTCAGCTTCACTGCACGCATCCATAAAATCAACAGGACAGAAAAGCCACAGATCAGAGTTGAATGTGGTTTTCTGATATGGATGCATGAAAAAAGTAACACATGAAGTCATTCAAACATCTGCAGACGGACTTTATCACACATTTTATCAGTCATCAACTCAAGTGTCTGTTTATTCTCATGTTAAATGGTCTGATTTTAGATTCAATGACTATTTCGATGCAAACAAATAAATCCACATTTGCTTTTAAGTGATTTTTTCAGAGCAACAATGTAGGACTAGACCTATCCCAAAGTCAGTTATCACCATGACCCTGTGACGTTTCTCTGCTAACCTTTTGAACTCTGCATCTTCAGGTCTACCAGGAGAGAAGGGGGACAGGGGGAGTCCAGGTGTCGGGAGTCAGGGTCCTCGAGGACCACCCGGTCCTCCCGGTGAGACAGTCTTGAGGACGTTTATTAGTCTGAACTAACAGAATTCACCGCCTGCTCTCTCAGATCTGTCTCAAAGCTCAAATAACATTTCTGAGGTTCTCCAGTAAAAAACCGAATGCGAGAATGTGAAATTATTTTGTTCCTGGATGTTTATTTTTGCTGCTTCCAGCCCAGATTTGCGCCGTTTCAGCCGTACGTTGCTTTTGAACTAAACCAGAGAGGTTTCAAATATTGAAACAATAAAATTAAATTACCCAGAGACTTAAAGCGATTAGGATTTACTTCACTCGCTTACTGAATCTCTGAGTAAAGACAGAAAGCAGACATTTTAGACCGTGAATATAATTGTCTGTACTGATTTTCCCAGAGCGCTCTGTGGGATCTGAGGTTTACGTTACGAATATACGACAGTGTTGGGATTTAGTTTGTGGTGATCAATACGGAATGAGCAGAGAAAACTCCCCTGAAAGTTTTCTGATTAAAAAAACTGTAAAAATAAAAGAATATGTGCATGAATCACACGTCAGGGTCGTGAAGAAGGAAGTTATGTTCACGGTAATTACCCTAAATAACGGTGCTGTGCTGATATTTTCACACAGCAAAAGAAACTTCTCAACAATAGATGTTTTGTTTCTTCAGAGTGCCGAGGGAGCAGCTCGTTCCATGAACACATGAAGCAAAAGCCTTGAGGAGCAGTTTCAACTGAATTTTATTCCTGATCATCACAGTTTACCTGACAACCATACCCTCGTTTTTAAAAACTTTTATGCTGTTAAAGCTTCAGGAAAGAGGATTTTAAAGGGATTAAACAGGTTTAATTATAGATCAATTCGGCAAAGTAACCAGAAGTCGAGGCACCGCCGTTCAGGCGTAAGCGCTGTGTGTGAGGCGGGCTTTTGAAAACGAGCAGCGAGCAGGGGAAGTAACTTGTCTGGGAAGACGTGTGCAGTCATCGGCTGTTCTAACTACAGCAGAAAACCGTGTGTGAGATGGCGTGCTCCGTGATGACCTGCCTGGCAGACCCTGTGTGCTGCAGCAGCACTCTGCCTGCCATGCGGTCACGCCCGGCTCACACTGAGCTCAAGTCCTTTTGACTCGATCAGAGACCTGCAGTTTCCCGTTTTCTGGCCGTCGGATGCCAGTCGTTCAATAAAATATTACTGAAATCAAAACCAAAGCTGGTGTTGTGATTTTTATGTCACACCGCCTGTCCAGTGTGGTTCAATCAAAGGAACTGGATTAAATGTCACTGCTAGCTTGTTAACTCCTGCACACATGAGCTACATGCCGTGTTTAACTGTACTGTCTGTTATCTCCCTGTTAATGTTTCCTGTTTATCCCTCAAACAAATGATTAATTTATGAATTCATGTCAGTATTAATTTATACCTTCATCAGTTACCGGAGGCTGCTGTCTAACTTAATCAGTCCAGGTATTAATGATTGTGTCGGTTTACAATGACAGAATAAGGAATTAATCATTGACACGTGTCAACACAGGAATGGCGAAGCCACAAGATGGCGACCTACACAAATCGCCTGTCGAATCCGTCTACAATGAGATGATCTACTCCAGATGTGCAGTTCTAACCTGTTTTTCTCCTTTTTGCATCATTTCTTTTCTGGAGACGATTTTAGAGTAAAAATGTCTAACAGCTTTGTTTTCTTACCTGTTGTCCCGCCACCTTCAGGCTTGCCAGGTGAAGGACGGACAGGCAGCCAAGGCCCACCAGGTCGGCCCGGTAGCCCCGGTGCAGCAGGTAGGCCCGGTAATCCAGGAACCACAGGACCAGCCGGTCCGCCAGGATACTGTGATCAGAACTCGTGTCTGGGATACAACGTTGGAGGTAAATATCATTCAGATGTTATTTATGAAACGGAACCGATAAACACTTCATCTTGAAACACTTTCACATATTTCTCCTGTTATTTTCATTTAGTGACTCAAGTATTTGGCGTCAGCATCAGACAAAGATCATCTGAGTAAAAGCAACGTGTAGTCAACCCGCCCTTACTTTCCAAAGTATCCTGCTCCATTTGAAAAAGTATTAGAATTACTTTTAATAACTGCTCCTGGGCCAGCCTTTGTGATTACTGACGAGTCTCTAACATCACTGAAGAAACACTGTCCCACTCTCGTTGATGGAGTTGATTTAGTTCAGCCACATTAGTGGGTTTCCAACGGGAAAGGCCTGTTAAGGTCAAAGGTCAGAAATCCTGCTGGATGTCCTGGTAGAACTGAGTTAATGGTAGCAGCAGTTACAGCAGAACAGCTCCAGACCATGACAGTGCCACCACCATGCCTGACTGCTAGTATGATGGTTTTGTTTTAGCTGGTTTAACGGGTCACACGTCGGTCTACCGAAGGTTGTTTTCAAAAGTCTTGAGGGTCATTCAGATGTTTTTGTTGTTGTTTGGTAAATGTGAGATGGCTTTTGGAGTTGTTTTGGGTCAGAAAATGTTTTTGGTTTAGAAATGAACGGAGGCCATAGTTGCCTCCTGTCTCTCTTCTTTTGGTTGAACTTTGACCTTGAGTTTAACCAGATGAGGTGCTTTAGATGTTGTTTTCCTTTACTTTCCTTAGAACAGGGGACATTGTTCTGGTTTCTGAAATCTTTTAGCCTGTTTCATGCTGTCAAACAGGTTCTATTGAAGTAATTTATTAGTTCTACACGTCTGGCAGTAACCAGACGTGTAGGTGTGGCTGGTGAATGCAGCGTTCCAAATAATTAGTCGTTTTACAAGGAGGAGCAGTTTTTTCACTTGGGTCAGGCTTTTACTCTTGACAAATAAAATCACCATTTTGTATTTACTCAGGATTTGTAGCTTTGTCTGATACTGAACTTTGTTGATCTGAAACATTTAAGCAACAAAAACAAAAAAGCTGTAACAAGAGTCATAAAACACCAGTTTTTAAGTAATTAGTTATAGTTACTGAGTATTTTGTCAAAAAGTAACTCAGTTACATACTGAGATACAAGATTATAAAAGTAACTAATTACCAAGAAAAACGGTGGTGCAGTGGTTAGAGCTGTTGTCTTGCAGCAAGAAGGTCCTGGGTTCGCTTCCCGGCCTGGGGTCTTTCTGCATGGAGTTTGCATGTTCTCCCTGTGCATGCGTGGGTTCTCTCCGGGTACTCCGGCTTCCTCCCACAGTCCAAACACATGACTGTTAGGTTGTCTAAATTGTCCTTAGGTGTGTGTGTGTGTGTGTGTGTGTGTGTGTGTGTGTGTGTGTGTGTGTGTCTCTGTGTTGTCCTGCGATGGACTGGCTCTCTGTCCAGGGTGTACCCCGCCTGATTGCCCGTTGACCGCTGGACCCCACCAGACCCCAATCAGCTAAAATTTATGATTGCAAATAGAAACACCTGTAAAGGTTCCCGAGCCTTTAAATGGTCTCTCAGTCTAGTTAAATTACTGAAATAAATGTCATTTTGCACAGTATTGTAATTTTCCCAGCATCACATAATTGTGTGTTTTTAGCAGTAGTTCTGTTGCTGCTAATCTAGTAATGGTTAAGTAAATAAATAAAATCCTTTCAAATGACACTAGAAGAGGCACAAGCCTGATGGAGGACTTAAATGTACTAACGTGGGTCAGACCCAACCACAGAAGAGCTGAAGCTGGGTGGTGAAGACACACAGGTAGTTGTAATGACGTTTGAGACTGATGCATCAGTGTTACAGCGGAATGATCAGAAACAGGTTACAGCTGGATGAGGAAGGTAGAAGATTGTAACGTCTGAGCGGCGAACAGGTGAGCAGACCTTCGAGATGACCTTCAGTCACGCCAAGAAGGTCACGGCTGCAGATTCACGCCTGCAGCAGCGAATCTGCAGGTCTGCAGCCGTAGACTGCTCATCACGTCTTCCTCGTTCTTCACGGCTGAGATGCGCTTGGATGAAAACATCCGCCTCTTTAGCTCCCGATCAGCTGATGACAGCTTCAACACACCGCACTGCTAAATTAGTAACGCACACATTTTCCTATCAGTAAAGGAAACGGCGTTATGATAAAAGTGGACGACAATTAATTAGATTACTCGTTACTAAAAAAAACATTTTTTTAGTAACGTCGTTATTTTAAACTGCGTCATTCCCATCGCTGTAAAACACTGTGTGTGTGTGTTTAAAATATAATTTAACGATAAAGTTCATTTTGTCTTCAGAATATAATTAGAAACGAGATTTACCTCGTTGATGATCATTGAATCAAAGGCTTGTCACCAACATTCAGACATCAACTGTGTTTGCTTCACAGGACACGGGGAAAAAAGATAATCATCGAATCAACACAAATATTTTATGCTGCTTGTTTAGAATAATCTGTTTTTATCAGAATTAAAAACAAATCTTGTGAACATGGATTCACCTATTTAGTGAAATTAAAACACCACAGAATCAAAGATTCGTCTTGAAACCAGAAATAGAAGATGATGATAAAAAGTTCTAGTGTGACAGCTGTCAGCGGTTTAAATGTGATTTTAAAATGTTAAGAAGTGAGCCGCTGGTTTGTGTGAAACAAACAAACTCAACGGGACTACTTTGGCTTTTCCTGCAGCAAAAGTTTAAATAATCTTTCCATTTACACTTAAATTACAAACCTAATCTGCAGACTCTTTTTCCTGGTGTACAGATCAGACTCGTGTCTGGCAGCTGAATCTGAAATAACATTTTAACTGTTTTATTTTTCTAAACACAAAATGTGGGCTTTGTAAAACTCTTATTTAGCTTCAATTTCTCCCGTTCCCGTGATATCTTGGGATTTAACATCCTTACCAGGGTAAACAATCTGGGCTGCATCTGTTTTTCCATTTAGTCAAACTCTTTTTTTACTCATAAAACACATGTAGGTTATTTTCACAGCCACAACTTGCCCTCACGTAGTTACTTTTCTTTTAAAGTTCTCAGAAAATCAAAACGTGATCCGAGTTTTTGTTGTTCCACTGTGACGTTTGCTTCATTCATGCCCACTCAGATGGATTAAGGACTTAGCAGGTCAAGGCTGTTGGTCTGGTTTAAAATCTAATAAAATATGCTACGCAGACTCAGACGCACACGCATCAAGAGCACCGTCTTCAGCCCCCGCCGCTCAGACGTTCCACACATCTACCCGTTTGTGACAGGACGCCCCGGTGATGTACCATCTGTTAAACGCAGCTGATGGATGAGACGTTACTTCATCCATCAAACCAGATTTATTTGAATGGATTCGACTCTTAATGTGTTTTTCTTAACAAGAGTCCTGTCTGGTCCTCTGGTGGTATAAACTCAGCCTCTTTGACCACTTCAAACACTAAATGCCCTCATGAATTGTTGTTGCTTTTACAGAAGCTGAATTTTGACCCTAACTTTTGTCTTTTATTTGCTGCGTTTTTAGAAGATTTGGTGGAACTTTGAATGCTTTTTTCTTCTCTGTTTGGAGTTTAAATATCAGTGAATTAGATAGTTGGTGTATTAAATGCACCACCGTCATTAATCTGGTGATGACTGATTCAGGTAAAGTTCAATGAGCTCAGATCAGATCCAACTGTGGTGTCATCAAAGGCGCCAATAACCTGGAGATTGATGGAGCGCCAGTGTCAAGCAAATTTAACACATTTGTCATTATTTTCTTTAGATTTACCTTCAAGTGGAAATCTGTTTAGTGCGCATGAGTAAAATAAGCTGTTATGTGTTTTAAGCTGAGTCACAAATCTCTATAAATACAGACCGTTTAGAATCTGCAACATAAACAGTTAGTTTCCCTTATTTTCAGTGATGAAAGCACACAGACGTGGACAAAATGGTAGGTAGCCTTCGGTCAGGGAAAGAAAAACCCACAATGGTCGCAGAAACAAGAGCAGACCTGGACAAAAACGACTGCACCCCTAGAAAAGACTAAAAATAATGGGACCAAAGCGACGTGTTAATTCAAGATGTGTGTCTACAATCTTGTCGTCAGTCAGTGGGCCTATATTTAGGACTCCAGGTAGTCAACGTGGACCAGAGGAAGTGAAGGAATGTTGTCTCAGGAGGTTAGAAAGAAAATGATGGACAAGCATGTTAAAGGTAACGGCTGTAAGGTCTTCTCCAAGCAGATAGATGTTTCTGTGCACATATTATTCAGACCCATGGGACTGCAGCTAACCTCCCTGGACGTGGCTGCAGGAGGAAAACCGATGACAAATCAGAGACGGATAATCCGAATGGTAACAAAATATTCCAAAAAAACTTCTAAAGAGGTCCAAGGTGATCTTCAAGCTCAGATCACGCCATCCGTCGCTGTTTGAGCCAAAGTGGACTTCGTAGGAGACGACCAAGGAGGACGCCATTGTTGAAAACGAATGATAAAAAAGCCAAACTGGAATAGGCCAAGTTACATGTTGACAAGCCACAAAGCTTCTGAGTCTTATGGACAGTTGAGACAAAGATGGACCTTTCTGTCAAGACACATCAGCTCCATGTTCAGATGGGAAAATGAAGCATATCAAGAAAAGACACTGTCCCTACTGTGAAACACGGAGGAGGCACTGTTATGTTCTGTGACCATTGGGGGCTTTTCTTTCGTTGTCTAAAAGGTACCAACAATGTGTCCACATCTCTAGTTTCACCTGCTGCCTTTTGTATGTTTGAAAGAATAAGCATTCAAATGTAAACAAATGAAACCATGTGGGAACTAAGTTAAGTGTACCTTCATATTCTGTTAAACTGCAAATAAAATAAAAATAGCTAAGGCATCAGCAGAACCTCAGGCCTAGTAGAGCAGATGGTGCTTCTGATCTTTATAAAACAAAATAGTTTTTACACAAGAAAAGTCTTTAGGGATTTTTTAAGTAGCACAATAAGTTTACAACAATGTGTGAAGCAGGTTAAATGTTATTTAAAATGTTCTTGGTGTCTTTTCTTTCATGTTCCCCTGAATGTCCACAGCGGTTTTATTTTTGCATGTTTTTTACTTTTTCAAACGCCTTCATGTATTTGTTTCACTCTGAAACTAGTTCTGGTTTCAGCAGCTGGGCGTGTTCTGTTGGACCAGCTTGACCCGTTAACTTCTCTGGTGTCTTTTTTACCTTCTTGATATAAGGTGACATATTTTCTCTTTCCCCCCACTTCTCCTTGTTCCTCCTCTCCTGGTGTCTCCTCTTTCTTCTGATTTGAAGCTCAGCAGGATTATGGGAATGATTACTGAGGAACGTTCTCCAGGCATCTTCTCCTCCTCCTGTCTTCACCTGGTTACAGAAAAAATCCCTCCAAGAACACTAGATGAGCTCCGACCTCCAGACTTTGCAGCAGTGGTTTAAAAACAAACACTGTTATTTAAAACCAGTGAGGGCTTTGCTAAAATGACCGTTATCTCTTCTGGGTCCGGTGCCAATCTAAAACACATTATTCACCTGATTCCCCACATACTGAGGTTTGATTTCTGAATAATAACAGAAACTAAATTTGCATCGAGATTAAAATGGATTTATTGTCCCAAAAAAACTTGACATTGCTGCCATCACCAATCACAATGCCATTTGTCAACAATTACTCACGTCCTGTGCTCTGCAACAGCGTTCTCCCTCCACTTTCACCTGCTCGGAGCTCAGATCTCATTAAAACTAATCACATCTTTCAAAGCCAGATCAATCTGCTCAACGGTGATGAATAGCTTTCCTCCCCGTTTGGCTGCTTTCTCTTCTGAACATCCTGGGCTTTTCGTCTTCTCAAATCTGCAGAAAGCTTCACTGTTTATCAGATCTTTTCATTACAGGAGAAATTATTTGAGTTTCTTTAAACCCTTCTCTTCACATTTGCATGTGTTGGTGCAACGTTAGAGTTTAGAGAACCAGCTGCAAAGCCACGCTTTAGTCTGCATGCCTCAGACTCCTGCTGTACTTCTGTTAAACACGTTCTGTTGGTGGTGGCGGCATCTAACAGTTTTTGTCCCAAATCTGGATTTAATCCTCATTCCATAAGTTTAGACTCCAACTGACACTAAATATTCCCACCGCTGCAGTCCAACCCCTACCTTATGAAGGCTACCAGCCCTACAACCCTGCTGCTGCCACCGCTAATGGCCACCAGGGAGATGAGGATGAGGAGGAAGACCAGGAACCCTATTACCATGGTTACCCCTCTCAGTACCCACAAGAAGCCTCTCAGTTTTCGTATGGTCACCATGGTTACCACCTGGGCCACTCTGAGGATCTGGAGCTGAGGTCACCGGGCGTGGCAAGCAGGTATCCACGTGATGTCGACCCGAAGAACAAAGGAGAAACAGAAAAGAAGGGCGGACTCACCTCAAGTGCTTGAGCCCTAAAAGCTACAAAACACACACACACACACACACACCTGGAACTGTGGTGACAGCACCAGTTGAACCTGTAAATAAGTGGACGCTGTACATTTGTGTAAAAGCGAAGTCCAAAAAGTGCCTGATCCACATTTGTGTCGTCTGGTGAAAACATGAGAGCCGTTCTCTCACCCTCTCACAGCCGACTGCAGGATTAAACCCTTTATTTGATGTTGAAGCCGCATGTTTCCTGTGAGTCTAACTGGGAACGTGCATCTTGTTTTCATTTCAACTCGCCTGTTTAGATTGCTGAGAATGAAAACATGACATTTGTACAGACTGCTTTCTTCTACTGTTTAATAATGACACCCCCCCCCCCCCCCCCCCCCACACACACACACCCCATGTCCTTAATTCAACGTGTAAAGAGTGAAAAGTTGCTTCTCCACACGGCTCTGGGTTTGCCTCCTCGGCCTTTTCTTTGCTTCGCTGTTTGGAAATTATTTAAAAATTAAATTGTGAATGAATGAAATCCTTTTTTGGGAGCGGTTACACCATCTCATTCTTGTCACATGGGTGAATTTTATTTCAGGTTTTCAAAATAAAATTCCAACAATAATAACAAATCTGTGCAGTTGTGTGTGCAGCCGGTTCCCCTTTTCTTATGCAAATCGGAGCCACTCACTGTGGAGGCTGATCGGTGACGGGAGCACGACCTCTCGCTGAAAGAAAACAAAACCTGAAGAAAGTTACGGTGGGTGGAAACCGCTCTCCTCCTACAACACACAGCCATTAAAGCGAAGCAGAAAAGTGCTTTGGCACTGGACCTGAGCCGGACCAAGTGACTATTAGAAATGTGCAACCACGCCCCTTTGGAAAGAAAGTGTTTATTTCCAGTTTTATTTGCTTTTATAACCAATAAATCTGTAACGAGACTAAAATGTTGTGCTTGTGTCATTTCTTTGGCGTAGCAGAGATTTCAAAACTTTACGACAAAAGGTTCAACAAATTGTTTATTAGTCTGTTTTTCTTCATCTACACGACCAGTTTGATCTCACAAACCTCAGGAAACAATCAAAAAAACAAGTCATGACCAAGGTTGGCATTTGCATCACAATGACGTTGCCATAGAAACAAATTGGCTCCAAAAGGCCCCAGCAGCTCTAACAGATGTCACGTCCACGGGGCAAGATCAGATGGTTTCATGGTGGCGTGATCAGAGGAAAAGCCCCAGAATCTGATTTTCTCTGATCAGAGCTGAGCCACATGGAGAAACCTCAAGCTGCTCCTGGATCACTCAGGTCTGCTGTGGGTTCAGCTGTGGCCCCTCGCTGCCAAACGAGAGCTTCTGTGTGTTTCTGCTGTTGGCATCTGAGTTACCTTAGAGCTCAGAGTCCAGGCAGAACTCGATGCCAGGTTTGGAAAAACATTAAATAAAATGTTTGCTAAAATAACACAATACAACATTTTTAATGTACCAGGAACCCATAAAAAATAAATGCTTCTTGTTTCAATCCTGTTGCTTCCAGATTTGCTTGTAGACAAAAACAGCTTTAGTCATTTCATCTTGTAGTCTTCAGGTCTGCAGAGGAAAAACAAAACATCAGTGCTGGAGCCATGATCACTGATCACAAACATGTGGATAGAAGGTGACAAATGGGCAGATTTTATTTTCCAAATATAATTCAGACCAGGGGCGGCGTTAGGCCCGGCTACTTGGGCTGAAGCCCCGCATGTTTCATGGAAAGCCCCGGATCTAAATCGCGGAAGTAACATGCAGTACCAAAGTCCAACAGAGAGGGAGCAGCTGGCAGTAGTTTGTATACAGCCTGCCTGAGCCTCCACCACTGAAGAAGAAGGCCTTCAGCAGCCAGCTTCTTCTACACTCTCTGCCTGAAACTCATGAATGAAGATGGACATAAGGACGTTTTTTAGACCAAAAGTACGGCGACAGAACCCCAGCTTTGATGAGACTGGTGTTGACTCAGGTTTGTGAGTCTTATTTGAAAATATTTGTTGTGCTGCTGGTTTGCCTAAAGTTAGCTTACTATCAGGTAAAGTTGTTGGAGAAAGAAAGGGAATATTTACCATCATCTCACACTAAACACTAACAGGAACAATACTCTGCCCTGAAAATGCTTAATATGTAGCTTCAGATTAAAAATTATGTGGTACAAGACATATATGATGTTGACTAGTGCGTGTCATGTGTGTGTGTGTGTGTGTGTGTTAAGCCCCGGATCTTCTTCAGTCCTAAATCCGCCCCTGCTTCAGACCCAACATCCCTTTTTTCTGGTTTTCCTCTTTTTAGTTTCAAACAAACAGATTTTTTCAGCTCTTGATTAAATGAAAACGTTCTGCTACCAAACGTGTGTGTGTGTGTGTGTGTGTGTGTGTGTGTGTGTGTGTGTGTGTGTGTGTGTGTGTGTGTGTGTGTGTGTGTGTGTGTGTGTGTGTGTGTGTGTAGCATTTTTGTTCAGAGGCTCATCTCAGTTCTTCTGCAGGAATTTTCAGAGAGAATATTAAGAGAATTGTGTTTATTGATTTGAAAGGTAAGGATTGATCTGCTCTGTGACCTACTGGCCCACACACACACACACACACACACACACACTCAAAACAAGGAGTGATGGCTCATTTAGTCGTTTCATCAAATATTTTAACAGAAAACCATCCAAACAGACGAGTATGACAGCTATTCAGACCAAACATGGTTCATTTTGTTCACATCTGATTTAAAAGGGTAAAAAAAAATCGATTTAATTTGTTCCCTTTGCTTAAAAAAGACTTTCAGATACTTCTGTCTCATTAGCAGAAATAAATAGTTTTCTTAATAATGCCCTAAAAATAAAACCGACACTAGCAGCAGTGGTGACTTTTCACAGGAGCAGTAATACAATAATAGAAATGTTGCTTCAGGCCTGCTGCAGACACACTGAAGGAGAAATCACAGGTTTTTAAATAATAACAAAAGCAAATCAAGCAAGCCTAGCTGCATGCATACTGAAGCTAGCAGGCGCAGAGACAGAGGAGCGCAACAAAGAGCTAAATAATGAAATATTACTCTCCGAATGCCAAGACCTTTACTAAACCAGAGCTCCTCCCACCCTTACAGAAAACATTTCAAGTTCCATAGTAAGTTTATGTCTGCACGAATGCTCTGCCACCTGGATGCTAAGCAGCTAAAAATGAAGACCTATGATTGGCCGCCTGGACGAGCATCTGGACCGCAGACAAACTGACGGACTGGCGGATTAATGAATGCAAAGGGCACTGCTGAGCAGGTGAATAAAGAATGCTCTGAGATAACCCGTCACGCTAAAGTCTGCTGCAGGAGGTGGGAATGCAGCGGCGTGACATTATTATGGCAGCAAACCGCAGGTCACAATGTCCGTCTAATCTCCAACCTGAAAATACTTGAGCCAGAAAAGCAATGAATATGATTATGCTGAGTAACAGATGTTCTTTTTTCTGTCTCACACACACACACACACACACACACACACACACACACACACCCATGTGTGTTTGTGGCATTTGATCATCCCTGCATTCAGGTTTAAAAGCAGGAGAATGAAAAAGCTAACAGGAGCTTTCTGGAGGGTTTTACTCAGATTTTAGCAGCTCAAAATCCCACAAATGCTTCTTTGACTAACTTACATGACAGACGAAGCTCATAATTATCCAACAGCCAAGAACAAACTCCTTCCCACGAATAACGCGGTCAGCCGTCCAACAGTAAGTGTTCCCTGCACTTGTCCTGTCACCGAGTTGGCCGACGGTCAGCCAGCCACATGTGCTCGTGGTTAGAATAAAAATATAAATGCATCTTAAGTTATTCTGCTTGAGGGGGTAAACTCCAGCTAGCCACTAAAAGTTGTTGACGTGCTTACTTACATGAACTCCTCTGTTGCTTAGAGACACAACGTAACACTAAGGTGCGTGCGTGTGTTTGTACGTACGGCGTCCACAGCCTGGGGAAGGCGTCGATCTCCTCCTGAGTGTACTCGCTGAGCTTCCTGGGGATCTCTCTGGGCTGAGGGAGCTCCTCTGTCAGGTTGGCTCTGATGTCCTCTGGTAACTCCTGGACAGATGTGCGTGCAGGAGGCAGTAGAGACGTGAGGCCATGAAGCAAAAAGACGAACCAAACAGGAAAGTCAGATGTTCTACTCCGAGTCTTCAGACACTAACAGAGTCTGTCCCTCAGCGATGTTTAAAATCTTATTAACATTCATCACACCTGGTTGTGCCAACAGGTTCATTTACAGAGCAGGCAACAGTCCAAGACAAAAAGCTCCAAAATGTGGCACTAGCTGCTCTAACTTGCAGATGAACCTGCAGACATTAAGCCTCAGGATGCAGCTCCACAAGTATCTGAGGATAAAAGCTTCTCCCTTTAAATCCTGCAGCTCAGCGTCACATCAGGACCAAACGATGTCCTCCTTTCTGCTAAACTACAAAAACGCAAAAGTCACACTCTGAACTACCAACAATACGACCCATTTGTTTAAAGGAATCTGCCATTATGGACAAATATCATTCATAAACTATTAAACGGCTCATTTCTTGCTGTCGGGTTTTTTAAAACTGAGACGAGCCTGCTCTCTGTTCCACCCCCCTCCCAGAACACGACTGATTCTCCATTAACGCCTCTGGTTCTGGTCCAGTGGCATCGAGGCCGATTCTCTTCGCTGAACGGCTTCAGAGGAAAACAAAGTTATAAGTGTTGCCAGAAGCCTGAGAGGAGAAACCACTAAACAGGTCCAGTTTAGACTGGGTAAGGAGAGATTAGGATTCACTCACCCAGTGGCAGAGAACAGATGAATCAACACGAATGACCACAATCATATCTAGATATTATATATCAATATCTACTGTTATCTACGGTGAATGCAAAACAGAAGTGTTGCACAAAAAAAGGGAAAACTTCCCCTGGAGAATAGAAGAAGCATGGAAAAGCATTCCTGCAGCCCATGAGCAAACGGTTGCAGCTGCGAAGGTCGGGGCGAAACGGAACTTACGTCTTCAGAAAAGATGTGTAATCGTTGCATCATTGTGCGCCGGTGCAAATTCCGAGGCAGCATGCCATAAATCGCCAGCTTCACAATCTGGAAGGAAGAAGCAAAAGGAAACGGACGACATGCAGTCAATCTGCTGACAGAGTATCGTTTCCATAGCAACCTCACAGACATTCTCCATGTTGTCCTCATGTTTGCCTGCAGAAGACAAATTCTTTCTGCCGGGACTTTCAGATGCAGACTGGAGCCCAGAACAGTCCGTTCCCCACGCCGCACCTTACCGATGACCCCAAAGAGGCCTGAGTTTGTTTAGCTTTTTAGAAATAAGTCCAAAGTTCAACATTTATGGGGCAGCTCTGAATTATCTGGAGAGGATGTTGTTTTATGTGGATTAGTCAGACAAAAACTTCACGTAACAACGAACAAAGACATCAGATCTGAGGACGCGAAGAGCTCCGACTGCGTGATGTCTGCGGAAAAAACAAATTCTGCTGAATACTGCCCTAAAGATCGATAACAGCAAACAATCTTAAAGTAACACCAAATAGTTTTAACTCTAAACTAGAGTTTAAACGTTGATCCTAACGATTGTTAAGTTAGAATCCATGCTTTCGTTCTTTTTTAAACACAGAAACAGTTTTGTTTACCTGTTTGTAGCTACGGTTTCGCCGACAGCTGCCGGCTTCTTCAGGCTGACGCTGATGGTGGCGCGTCACTTCCTTCTCCGTTTATCTGCGGGCAGCAGAGGACGTTGTCGCCCTCTACTGCCCGCTCTCCCCTCTCCGACGATGCAGTCCCATGCGTGGTCCAGCGTGTAAACTCCGTCGTCCCTGTTCATGGTCCCACATCCACGTCTCCTTATCTCTATTGCTTCCTTGATCCATCTTTTGTATTTTTGTTGTTCAGTGGTTATGATCCGTGTGCTGTCCCAGTCCATTATATGGTTTTCTCTTAAGCAGTGATCTGTTACGGCTGACTTTTTTATTGTACTTTCTGCTTCTTCTTTTGCTGCTCTTGTGTGTTTACGATTTGCCTCTTTCTCGCACTCCTTTCTGTGTTCTATTGTCCGTGTATTGAGTTGGCGTCCGGTTTCTCCTTTGTATGTTTTATTGCATATTTTGCATGGGATTTCGTAGATGACTCCACATTTTTGTCCAGCTGATATTTTGTCTTTTGGGTGTACTAGTCTGTTTCTAACTGTTGTGTATGGCTTTGTTGGTGTCTTTATGTTGTGTTTTTTCATTGTTGCTCTTATTTTTTCCGTTATGCCTCTGATGTATGGTAGGGTTATCACTGGTTTTGAAAGAACAAGAAAGACAAGAACCAAAACCAGTGATAACCCTACCATACATCAGAGGCATAACAGAAAAAATAAGAGCAACAATGAAAAAACACTACATAAACACACCAACAAAGCCATACACAACAGTTAGAAACAGACTAGTACACCCAAAAGACAAAATATCAGCTGGACAAAAATGTGGAGTCATCTACAAAATCCCATGCAAAATATGCAATAAAACATACATAGGAGAAACCGGACGCCAACTCAATACACGGACAATAGAACACAGAAAGGAGTGCGAGAAAGAGGCAAATCGTAAACACACAAGAGCAGCAAAAGAAGAAGCAGAAAGTACAATAAAAAAGTCAGCCGTAACAGATCACTGCTTAAGAGAAAACCATATAATGGACTGGGACAGCACACGGATCATAACCACTGAACAACAAAAATACAAAAGATGGATCAAGGAAGCAATAGAGATAAGGAGACGTGGATGTGGGACCATGAACAGGGACGACGGAGTTTACACGCTGGACCACGCATGGGACTGCATCGTCGGAGAGGGGAGAGCGGGCAGTAGAGGGCGACAACGTCCTCTGCTGCCCGCAGATAAACGGAGAAGGAAGTGACGCGCCACCATAAGCGTCAGCCTGAAGAAGCCGGCAGCTGTCGGCGAAACCGTAGCTACAAACAGGTAAACAAAACTGTTTCTGTGTTTAAAAAAGAACGAAAGCATGGATTTACAAAGACACAGCAAGAACACACCTAAGATGTTAAGTTAGAAACTTGACAAGTTTCACATTTGACATCATTCTGTAGCCCCCTGCTGACCAGATGCAGCAGCCAACAGCTTTGTGGAGCGGGCATGTGTCCTAGGGGGCGCTCTAGCCCCACTTAATGGATGTTTGCCATTTTCCGTGCTGGTAGCTAATAAAAGGCTAGCAGTTAGCTTTTTCAGTTCGCTGGCCGTCAATAAAAAACACAAAAAGAAGAGGAAGAAAAAAGGAGTTTGTTTATTTGTTGGCATCATGTTGAAGCCTGAAAGTAAACCTCAGGTTAATGTCTTTGGAGGTGAAACAAAGAGCTAAAACCAGAGGCCTGTGCTAGTCTGAGGACGCTAAAGGAGGCTATGAAATCACGGACTGATGGTGACCTGGCTTTGTTGCTACCGGATTTGTCAGTGATAATATTTTGTAGAATAATGTGGATCTTTACTTCATGCCTTATTTAGAAATACTTTGCTCATGTTATTGTTAGGTCGTTGTTAGCGCTAGCTACAGCAGGCTGCTGCAATTACAGTTGTAATTCCACTTTCAATCAGTAGGGGTGTGGGAGCCAAAAATTAGGATGCTTTTTGTGTTAATGTGTATTGATTTGTATATTGGGGGTGGGCGTGTCACTGGGTGCAAACTTTAGCTACTCATCTTCACCTGTCGCCTGTTGAGCGGAGACTGATGGCGGGCGAGCTTGGGTGAAAGAATTTCGTTGACCGTTTACCTGAATAATGCGTAACCATATTGCAAGTTTGATGCGGAACGAATAAAGTAGAGTTTAACGCAGTTGAAAGCTGTAGCGCGTCATTAGAATGAATCCATGCTGAACCTGCCGCGGCACTGATGGAAAATGCTTGGAACCTGTCGCAAACAAGGGCGGAGAACCTGAAAACTGTTTAGAGTTGCTTTAAACGACACATTCGTTAGCCAAATCAGGCTTGTTTTTTAAAAACCTACCTGAATACATTTGTTTCACCTTGTCTAAAGACCTTACTCCATTTATTTCTAATGAAATATTTTGAAAATGGTTTTAAATACAGATTCAATGATTTCCTAAAGCAGTAAATCAATCACTACAGTAACAGATACGTTCAGGAATTCAAGGCACACTTGGCAGGTTTGCTTGCTTTAGTGTCCGTTATTAATTATGTGTGGTCAAGGCAAAAGTGAAACCTAACTCCTCGCTGTGCGTTTCTCTTTAACACCTTAATCCAACAGCTGAAACGTCTCCCCAGCCCTCATTAGTGTCTACAGTAGCGGTTCTACACCAAACAAAACAAGTTAGCAGTGCTCATGATCTAGATAGAACAAGCAGGAAATGTGCTGGAAGCAGATTGCAACACCAGACATATGATCTCAATATTTTGTAAGTTTAACAGGTGCCGGACGGGCACTCTGAAGTTGCAAATGTGGTATTCTTGCCACAGAGGGCGCTGGAGGTCTGAGTGGCATTTGCTTAACCCTGTAAAGGGTCACTTCAGCACATGCTGGCTCAAGACAACCATTTAAAACATGAAACATCCCTTTAACACAGCATGTTTTTGAATAGAGAACATTTTACACTCAGGTTTAACTGGAATCACTGAAAGCAGCAAAAACGATTATGTTTGGACTCTCTTCTTCACTTTAGTCAGAAACTTGATGCTTTAACACACAAAAGTGTGATTTTCCCAGTTGGGTGTTAACATTCTAGCCAGCATGGTGTATCCTTGAGACACATCCCAAGTTATCATTAAAACAGGTGCAGCACAAATCCCCTTCCGCATGATCCCAGCTTCCTGCACCATTCACTAATATGCACAAGCAGCACATGTGAAGAAGGGATAAGTGTCAAAGCAGCTAAACCTCCTCTGATCGGTGTGTGGCGCTTGTGGAAATTATACTAATCTCTGTCTGTGAGGCTTAAATTAGAAGGAGAGTGAAAACGTGATGCAAGGTAACAGACACTGACTGTTCAGATTTTAAAATTCACTCAGAATAACATCAAAATTAAAAAGAGAGATTAGCGGCACGGCTTACGGCTTTTGGATCCTTTTGGTGGAGCTGAGCAGCTGTGACTTGCTTGAATCCACCAGGAAACCTTTAAAAAAAGACAAAGTCGAGTAAACCTTTACTTGTGCAGCAGGCGTAACCTTGCTTTGTGAATTTAAACCACCAGTCGTGCTTGTGTGTTAAACAATAACAAAATTCAACATGCGTGTGTCAAGAGAACACGCCAACAACCCCACGCAGAAAGGCTTCATCTCGGCGTCAAACCTGCAACCTTCGCGCTACAAGGGAACAGTTTTACCAACGGTGCCACCATGCAGCCCAGCCAGATATAAAACGGGACATTTTCAGTCAGATGGCACCAAAGCAAACACACTCAGCTAGTGGCTCGATGCAACCTGCTGGGTTCCTTATATACAGGGTATCTGCAGGTTTAAGGGAGCCAAATTTAAGACTTTTTAAGACCTTTTTTAAGGCCACTTTGACCAAATTTAAGCTATTTTCAAAATTAAATGGAAGCTATAATTTCCAGCTATTGCCTGGAACCGGTGCTAACCACATCGCGAATGTGGGGATTAGCCATCCATTTACCATTAAGCTTACACTTCCCCATGGCGCACGCTCCCACTAGCTTAACCAGCTAATGTGCTCATCTAAAAATAGCCCCCTTTCACAACCAAATGAATGTATACGGTTCCACTTACGCCAACATCATACACAAAAAATGTTGAACAGTAACTAGAAATTCATGAAAATTTTATAGAAATAAAAGAATCTTGTTTATTGGGTCTTTGGTAATTTAAGACCTTTGGAAACTGTGTTTAAGGATTATTTGTCATTTTTAAGGATTTTTAGGGCCTTAAATTTGGAAAAGCCAATTTAAGACTTTTTAAGGATCCGCGGATACCCTGTATATAGGAAACTTTTCACTGATTGGTTTAATGAACTGACCTGTGTTGGAATGTTTACTATGTGAAGGTCCTTGAGACGACTCTGGTCGTGATTTGGCGCTTTATAAATGAACTGAATTGAACTTACCCTGTGTGAGACGAGTAGACTTTCTGCTCCCACTTGTTTCCAGAGAAAGCGATGTGTTTGGAGTTTATTATCACGACGTGATCACCACAGTCACCTGTAAACACATCACAGGTTCTGGGTACTGTCTCAGGAACGTTGCTAAGCTGAGTCCCATTCTGTCTCGCTCTGAACTTGAGACAGTTCTCCACTCCTTCATCTCCTCACGCTTAGACTACTGTAACTCTCTTTTCACGTGTCTGAGCAGAACCTCCCTGAACCGTCTACAGGTGGTTCAGAACGCCTGTGCTCGGCTTCTGACCAAGTCCTCCAAACACACCCACATCACCCCGCTTCTCCTCCAGCTTCACTGGCTGCCAGTCAACTTCAGGGTTCATTTCAAGATCCTGGTTCTGGTCTATAGGGCCTTACATGGACAAGCACCATCTTACATTGGTGATCTTCTTAGTCCCTACACCCCCAGCAGGTCCCTGAGGTCCAGTGATCAAAGCCTACTGGTTGTGCAGCACCAGGCTAAAGACCAAAGGTGACAGATCATCTGCTGCTGTGGCCCCCAGACTCTGGAACTCTCTCCCCCTGAGCCTGAGATCAGTGGACTCAGTGGTCTCCTTTAAAAAGCAGCTGAAGACTCACTTGTTCAAGCTGGCTTTTGCGTGATCTTCATCACCCTCTCTTATTCTGCTCTTCCTACCAACTCTATCGGGATGCACTGATGACCTCTTTCCTATTCATTTCGTCTTTTCCTTTCCTTAAATTTTAATCACATTTTTTTATTTTTCTCATATTTATGTTTTATTTTTAAAAAATCTTTTCATTTTTGTTCTTGTGAAACGCGTTATGACGTTTATCTTGAGAGACGCTATATAAAAGAAAGTTTCTTCATCTTCTGTTCACACTTGTCGAAGGTAAGTGTTGAATCTTCCCCTTCCATAAACCGTGTTGCTTTCTAAACCGTTTGATGCTCAAAGACGTTTACAGCGCAGTGATAGAATAAAGCTTACGTCTGCTGAGTTGTCTGGGGAACGCCTGGTCTCGTGTCCCGTGTTGGATGTGATGTCCTCAACCTGACCTACTCTGGCCTTTCCACGAGGTAAAAATCAGACCGGTTGTCCTGCTTCGGTTTAATTTTTCTACTTTAAAGCAGCTGTCCAGAGTTTTCCCCTTTCAGTAATTCTGTATGATATTTCAGAGATCCATAAAAGTCTTTTCATGTGCTGTGATGCAATGTAGGAAATACGTCTTTTTTTTTTTATAGCTAAGCCCGCCCCCGTCCCAGAGTTCAATGCAACATGAAATGCGCGCCGGTCAGCACTCACCAATAGCGTTAAGACTACTGCTTACATAAAGACGTTAATCACAGAGTGTGCTCAGATGTTTAAGGGCGCACCTCGGTTGATGCAGGTTGGCGACATTTCTCGTGGACAAGTTAAGTTGTTAAATATAAATATGATATTTAATCATTGTAAAACAATGTGTTTTAGCTGTTTGGTTGCCTAGAGGAGTGAGTTCATGAAAGAGAGGCACTGCTTTTGGCCTTAAATGTGAAAATAAAAGTAGGTTGATGGTTTCTCATCGCAAAAACTGCCCGTGGTACCCATATCCATAAAGAGGTTGCATCGGTCCTTCTAAATCTTCTCCCAGTAAACCCAGCAGTACATCCCAGTTCATGTTTTCAAATCTCTCAGAGCACCCTCTGCTTCAGAATGCTATTTTCCTGAAAACTGCTTCATCACAGGTCATGTTCCTACCAGGGGAGAGTAGAGTAGCGGCAGGTAAGCCAGACTGAAGTCAGACTTCCCCAGTGGGGGTTTTTTCTGCCTCCTTCTCTTGTCGTTTCTTGTTGAATAATAAACTAGAAGAATGCGGGCCAAATAGAGGGGTGCCTCAAATCACCAGACATGAGGGGAATGCCTTTGTTGTGTCTGCAGCCCCGCTGTGATCAGCTTCATGATCTCCCAGACAGATGATTTGTCGACTCTTGGACAAACACAGATACTATCACATGATTGATTTCTATTGGTGGTTATATTTTGGCCAAACGCTAACTGCTGACAGCAATATAGGACCCTCTTCACAGAAACATGTTCTGGGTTAAACCATCGGTTGTTGATGTAGCTAATAAGCCCCCCACCTTTGCACCTACTGCAGGCTGTAAGGTCTGTGTTGGCTCTCGCTGCTATTAAGTCTAACAGTTCCACATTAGTGCCCGGTGTGCAACAGGTTAGCCATGTCTGTGTGAAGAGTACAAGCCGCTCTTGCAATAAATCTTTTGGTGCAGAGACCTCATCTACCTTTATGCTAGTGCAATCTCGTTCTGCATCATAATGAAATAATCAGGGTTTAAATAGCCTTCTCACCACCACTGAGGTCATCACAGGTTTCTTTAATAGCAGAAGATCATTTGAGATAAAGCGAAATGGTGTGAACAGGTGGAGGGCCTTTTGAGAGTTTTAAAAAAGAACAGTACAAGATCTGAGCATGAACAAAGCAATCTATGTTCTCAAATCTACTAAATACTCTTGATTAGTGGCATGATATTACTCCCTGAGAATCCCTGAATACGATAAAAGCCTTTACTTATGCTGACTGAAGCCCCCAAAACAAATAAACATGTCTAACATGGGACACTGAAATAAGGACAAATGTTATTTTGGTCGTGGTCATAATGGATTCCAACAATTTAGGCAAGACAAAACAATCAGTCGCATTGTGACGACGGAGAATAGACACCTTTAGTGAAGTTGTGATCCTTCACCTTTACATCAGCCAATAAACAGCCTGTTTAGGTTTAAATGTGCTTTTAAAAACAGGCCTTACCATATTTCATGTACTTTTATTTTGAAACTCAATCTGGTTATGCTCCAACAACTCGAAACCCTTACGAATGCTTGATTTGTTTTGTGTGTGTGTACATGTAAAGTTAATCAACTGCTGCCATCTTGTGGATGACTTCTCCTGCCACAACCTTCAACAGAGGTGGGTTTGAAGAAAACCTCTCAGGACCAACATGGGCTTTTACTCACTCCGTGCATGGTAGATGGGCTTGTGTTTGCCCTGCAGTCTAACAGAACACGCGGTTGCGATCTTGCCGGGCGGTTGCATCCTGGCATCAATGAGGAACCAGGAACGGGCGAAGGTCGCCCATTGCTGAGGGAAGAAAATTTGCTTTTCATTTCATTGTGTCATTTCTTAACTTTAGTGAATTAAACAAATTGACTGAAATGATTGATTAATGGAACGTGTTTGGAAAACACCAATAGAGGAAAACTAGAGAAGTCTTGCACGCCCTATGAATACACATCGGCTTTCATAAAGGATATAACAGGGAAACAATCACGTGGGAATACTAGGTCAAACACTCTCCAGATTTATTTTATTTATTTATTTATTCACTCTCCTGATTCCAAGCAGTTGTGAAATGTCCTTCATTTTATTTTGGACTAAATTAATTGACATGTTTGAGAAAGTTCATAACTAATAACAGCTACTGGAAAATACGCCCGATTTTAAAATAGAGTATGGTCCATAAAATAATAGATAAACGTCTTTCGCTTGTTTAGTTTCTGTATATCTTTAACTAATGAGTAACAACAGCTAGCATGTTAGCTAACCGATACAGCAGCTCGCTTCGCTGCAACGCTCATTTAACAATTGTAAAAACAGTTACTTTACTTTTAAATTGATTCAGACTTAACACGAAGCTACGGAAATGTACAACCATTTACCTGAGCAGATCTGGAAAAACTTGACATTTTAAGGACAAAATGAACACATTTTCGAAGCACTTGACCCCCAACGTGAAATACGAGTCCGTCTACTTTATATATCCGACTAAAACATAATATTAAGCTGCACGGTTCCTACAGTAGCTACGCAGGTTGGGTGTTAATAAGTATTCACCTTATCGAGTCAAATATGAAAATTTATATATTTATTTAAGATGATTTCTTCTGACAGCACACTTAGGGAGTATTTCATTATTACTTTTACCTTTTGCTCCAATTCTTCCGGACGTATTTAGACGTCGCTTCAACGTAGTGTCGTCACTTCCTTTTAGCAACAGAGGCGAGTGAGCGGGAACTTTGACAGCCTCGGTAAATCGTTTCTTTTTATAAAGGATTTATTTTCCATTAGCCGAGTTGTGGTTGTTTCAGAGTCGTAACCGAAGATGAGAACGTTAGAGGAGGTCCAGGCCACGCTGCAGATTGCCAAGCTGAATGAGGAAGATTTAAACCCGACCATCCACTGTTTGTCTTTTGGGGAAAACGTTTCATCTGCAGACTACTGCCTGATGGAGCTGGACGACACACTCTGCAAACACATTGAAGCTGGTCAAAGGTTAGATGTACATGTGTCTGTTAACACATATGTATGATGAAAAGACTTTAGAGGAATTCCTTTTTTTTAATATATGTCAACAGTCTAAACTCAAAATGATGTTAAACCAATGAAATGAAACAAGTGGACAACAGGATTTCATCATTTTTACTAAAATGCCTAAATAAACTTTAAGAACGGAGTTTATTTTTCAATATAAATAAGTTATTGTATAATTGATCGGTCTTTTTTTTCTCTTCCATAGTCTTGTTATCCGAGGGGACAAAGATGAGCGAGCGGTGCTTTGCAGCTGTGATAAAACCTATGATCTAAGAATAGCGAATACTTCCAACCTGCTGCTGTTTGTGCCTGGATGCAAAACTCCTGACCAACTCCCCATCACCCAGGACCGTGCATGTGTGGTACATGCCGAGGTGTGAACACAGCTGACGAGCAAGTCATGCTGTAACACACAAATAAGTATACATGAAACTGATTAGTTCACATCCCACGTTTGTTTTAGATCTGGGGATTTTGTAACAGCTACTGGGAACCGAGGAAGCAGCGTCCAAAACTGAAGAAGCTAAAGAAGCTTTTGATGGAGAATCCATATGCAGGAGTTCCACTAGCAGGGCAAGAAGAGAGCAAAGAGAACAGGGTGAAACACCCAAAGTTACATTTTTGGATTAGATATCAGCTATTTTCAATCGATCCTTCGTTTGAATGTGCTTAATTGGTTTGCTGTGTTGGCAGTACACAATGCAGGATCTGTTGGAGAGGATCCAGGCCAGTGAGGAGGAGATTAAGAACCACTTGGTGACCATTCACGCCTGTCAGATAGATGGTGAGGGATGTTCATAATAACTGCAGAGTTAACAGATGAAGACTAGTGCATATGAATTATTCTCTTCCCCCTCAGGATGCTGGTGTGGGTTGGACTTTGACTACGAAATGAAGCTGCTCAGTCATGTGACTCAGCTGGTTGATTCTGAGTCATGGTCCTTTAACAAGGTCCCCCTTCAAACCAGTCTGGAGGAACTGGCTCCACTGGAACCCAGGTAAGTTCAGCGCTCAGATACACCTGCGTGCTAACAAAATGTCTCACTTGAACCAGCCTGCAAGCAACAACCTAACCCCCTAAAACCACCCTGCAGCAATCAAAAGGCAGAGAGCAGCTTAAATGAAAAAGTTCATGAGCCTCAGAGAAGAAGGTGTTCCTCCTTTTTTAAATAAAGCAATCCTAAGCCATTCAGTAGCAGCCATGGCTGAACTGGGAGAGCGGTTTTCTACTGATCGGAAGGTGAACGGTTCGATCCCAGGCTCTGGGAGGCCATGTGTCGATGAAGCTGAAACGTGAGTCTCCTCCTCCCAGGTACCAAACAAACGGCAGCCCACAGCTCCTTAGAGATGGGGCCAATGCTGAATAGAGTACTGTGGTGGAAGATAAAACCCCAGTAATTCACCGACTACCCTGGTCATCTGGAAATCAAACCTCACTACAAGACTTGGTCCTAACCTGAATCACTGGAAATCACTACACTCTTGTGCACTGCCACAATAAGTTAATAAAGTTTTGAGTACGGCAAAAATGGCTTATTAGTAAAATGCACAATCAAAAACCAGCCTCTGCGTTATATTTCCTATTCCCAGGGAGATGATCGAGCACTGTTTGAACTGCTACGGGAGACGCTACACGGACAAGGGTAAATCTGGGATCGTAACCATGTGCTTGGTGGAAGCTGGCTTCTGAAACCTGTTCATCTCTTTCTCTGCACAGGTGAGGTGTTTTATGCGCTCCATGAAGATAAGGTGTGTCGAGGCCTGGCACTAATGCTGCTGCAGAACGCTGTCAAGTTCAACCTAAAGGAGTTTCAGGAGGTCTGGCAGCAAAGTGTGCCAGAGGGCATGAGCACAAGACTAGAGCAGCTGAAG